GGGTGTCCAAATGGCAGCCAGGGGTGACGTAGACTCTACGCCGACGCTTAACATGGTCAGGTTTTGCTCTCCTCTGGGGCCTCATCAGGCTCTAGTGGCCCTCTTTCAAAACATTGTAGAAAGTCGAAACATTACAATAAAAGCAATAATACTTGTTTGATATGGGAGTTAATAAGAGTTATGAGTAAATAGTCGCACATACCTTTCAGTAAGAGAATCCAACACTAGAAGGTAGCAGGCTGAATGGGGGGTGGGTGAGCTCACCATACTGAGGGACACACAACAAGATCTGGAAGTTCTGATGCACTACACACACTTTTAAGGGGGAATGAGGTATTATTAATCACTGATGCACGAAAAAAGAGGTTTTAATATGAGAAAACTTCACCACGATGTGGTAAAAAAACCGAGATTGCCAGAAAAACAGCGTGGCACATACGTCCGATCGAGGAAGGTTTTTGACGCTAACTGAATAAAATCGTAGTGGGGAAAATTTTGAGTTTTCCATGAGAGGGAAAAAATAGAGATGGATCACGCCATATGACGTAGGCATCGTATGATTTTGAGAAGAATATGAGGGAGGGGAGTTGCCGGGGTGTGTGTGTGTGTGTGTATGAGTAGAGTGGACAGTGGAATACATTTTACAGACTTAAAATAAATAACTAATATTCAAATAAATGTTAAAGACCTATGTACACTGTTCAGTGGGAGGATAAAATATGACAATTACAAACTAGAGGGTTAAAAATGTGTATTAATCGAAGGACCACACGATTAGGTCGGGAACCAAAGAGTTTGAGAACACTTTAATTGAATGAATAATGAAAAGAAAGTCACTCACCAATTCAATTTCCATTGTTCTTTAAGGAGAGGGGAAAGGCGTGATGTCCAAGCTGGGGTGTTGCACAGCGGGAGATGTCACTACACTAGGGAGAGATGGATCTTGATCTTGAATTGAGAGTTCAACGTAAACGAATGTCTTTCACTATCTTCTGTCGCGGTCGACCGTTAACGATACATCCATGTAGAAATGTCCTGAGGACCTGCCTACGAACACGTACAAAAAAAGTCTCGGAGAGTGGAGCACTGAGGGGATTACTTTAGAATAAAACAAGGGACTATGAGCACTGAGTTAAGAGTATTAAAATTCTTTAATCTTATACGTGACAAAAATACACAAGAGAAAGAGTTATAAAGAGACAATTAATCCAAAACGCTCATGGGAGAACCGTGAACAAAACGAGAGAGAGAGAAAAGCGATTACGCTGTTATAGCTATACCGGCAACTAATGAAATCGAGCAAGAACTGAGCTTTCCTGTGAGTGCAGGTACACAAGTTTGGGCAGGGGGGGGGAACATCATACGATGCTAGCCGGAAGTGACTCAGACTAAGCTTCGTCTATCTCTGTCTGCCTCACTCAGATAAAACTAGCCTACTTTACGAAAATATTAAACATAAAACTATTGACTTGTTGGTCAGAAATTATTATAATTAAACTAATAGTAATTAATATCTCTTATTGACTAAACATACCGGCCGCCTTGAAGCAACGTTGGCTTCAAAAAAACAACCATACTTGACAAATCACAAAATCAGAAAACTTAACTAAATCAGGGCTCCCCCAACCTTAAGATTTTCCTGCTCCTTTGACCACTTTGATCGTTGTTGAAGCATGTGGAGAAATTCAATACTTAAACGCTTCCATAGACGTTGCTGGAGAGATTGTACCAGGTGGTAGTGTTTTAGTCTATTCATGGGGGTTTCTGCCAGATCAGGCGCTGGAACTGAAGCTAAGGGAGCCCCGATCAAAAAATGTCTTGGTGTGAGAGCAGCTAGATCAGCAGGATCACCAGAGAGAGGGGTGAGAGGCCTGGAATTCAACATTGCCTCCACTTGGGTGGCTAAGGTGATGAGTTCTGGTAGAGTGAGAACTGTGTCTCCCATAACATGTTTGAAGTGGTATTTAGCACTTTTGACTGCTGCCTCCCATAATCCACCTTGGTGTGGGGCAGCAGGGGGATTGAAGTGGAAGTTAATACCTCTTTGGTTGATTTCTTGTTTGGCTGAAAGTGAAGTGTTTTATTTGATGATACTTTAAAGACCGGCATCGGCACCCACAAAGTTTGTACCACAGTCGGAATATATATCCGCGCAAAGTCCTCGGCGGGATACAAATTGGGTGAGTGGGGCTAGAAAACCATTTGTGGTGAGATCGGTTGCAACCTCGATGTGTACAGCCTTTGTCACCATGCACACAAAAATGCACAGGTACACTCTGATATGTTTGGCAAAACGGAGATTCAACACTTTAGCCGTAAGAGATCCACAATAGTCTATTCCAACAGAGAGAAACAGATAGGCAGGAGTAACCTGTAGGAGAGGGAGATCACCAATCAAGGGAGTCTTATTCTTACGTGGCTTAGCCTTGAAGCACTTGAAGATCCGTGAACGTATAACAGTCCGTGCACTGAGGATCCAAACGCTTTTAGCCAATAGAGCTTGAGTTAGCTGTGGACCAGCGTGGAGATGAGTCACATGGTAGTGGTCGATAAGGAGGTTCATTACGTGGTGTTTCTTCGGTAGGAGTATCGGATGACAAGAGTCAAAAGGGAGGTTGGAGTTTTCTAGACTCCCGCCAACGCGGATAAGGCCGTCAGAATCGATGTAGGGTCTTAGACGTTGGAGTTGAGTAGAACAATCACGCTTATTTTTGAGTAAGGTCAAGTCATTAGAGAAAGCAGATCGTTGGACAAGTCCAAAGATCTTCTGACGAGCCGCGTTGATCTCGGGTGGGGAGAGATAACTTGAGGTAATTGGCGCTACGACAGTTGTGTACGAAGCGCAGAATTAGGGCGAAGATGCGCTTAAGTTTGTCCCACGACGAGAACTTTGTCAGAATGTCCCAGTCCTTCTGTCGGTCGGCAGCTAAGACGACTAGCGGAGTATTCTTGAGCTCATCGGACGATGAGAGGTCCATAGGTACGAATTGCATTGAGGGCCAATCCTGTAGAGGGAGGCTGAGCCATGGTGGTCCATAGTCCACCAGAGAAGGTGGTACTTACGCTGGGAGGCTGAAGCATTTTTTTCAGATCGTGCAGTAAAAAAGCGTTATAAAAGTTAAAATTTTAAAACTATGGAAAAAAACAATAAATTGACAAAGCGATTATAGGTACAAAATCAACAATTTTGTACCTAAATTTCAAACATTTTCTGGGGAAGGACCCCCCTTCTACGGATCCTCCTCTTTACTTGGGGGTATTTTTTCATACCTCCCAGATTTACCAGCTCCTCTTATTGAAAAGTTAGATGGACACCCATGCTAGGTAATATTTTGTATACCTATATGTTATATTTTGAGTCCATCTCTTGGTATGCTATTGCTTTCTCTGTATTTAACTGCATTTGTTTAAATATCACTTGAGGACCCATCCTGCTCTGCAGCATTGACATAAATATCATGTCCGAGAAATAACCAAATCTATGATTTTTGATTCAGTAATTCAGTATCTTGAACTTAACTTATTCAAAGGATCAATAGCTCAAATTAAAGCCTAAGTTATATAATTTACTGATTATTTTGAGTCTAAAACATATATAAATAAACATATAAACAATACTATGGAGCTATTGATTTTTAATAATAGAAAAACTATAATAGAAAAACCTTCTAAAAAATAATTTTTATGTTGGTTTTTCACTTTGCGTTTGCTTGAAACTCCTCCGATTTGAATAATTATAATAGCATAAATGAAAGCCGGCATTTCACTGAAGGTTCTTAGTCAAAAATATATAGGGATTATATAAAATTATAACTGGTGAGATGCATCTAAAATTGAAGTAAGAATTAAAAAAATAAATCAACTTTATTTTTTTTGCCCGAGTAATAGTAGATAAATATATGCCGATGCTTGTTGTGAAATCTGTGCGTGCATACCTTCGATGTAAGACCTCAATCATGAAAATCGGTCGGGTAGAAGAGCCAAACGAACTCAGAAAAGTAAAACCAAATTTTTTTAATTGTATAAGAAAGATTCAAAACAACTACGTAAGTATGTTTTGTATGCATTAAATAGTTTGTGTACCCCTTTTCAGGGTGCTGCTGAAGAAAACCTTTTGAATCTTTTGAGACTTTTTAAAAATTTTGACAGAAACATGTTCTCAAAATACAATCATGATAAAACTTAGTTGGAGTTTCAGTACCTAATAAAAACTGCTAGTGAAGGTATAGTTTTATGCTTTGCTAAATTTATATATTTTGATTTTCTATACATTTTATTATTGTAATTAATATTTCACAATTAAATGTAAATTAATTAACGTTTTCAATTAAATTTTTAAGTTTAATTAGATTGTCATAAAGACATTTAAATTTTAATTCCTAAAAATAATTACTGGTAAGAGTATCACTGAGCAGTGTTTATTAAGTCATTAGGTACACTTTTAAATTTTGACCAATTTAATAAACTTATGTGATAAAAAAGTCTAGCAATATTTAATTTTTGAACCTAGCATATTCCACTGTGATATTAGTTCATTAGGTAATAATTTTTATACCATACCGTTTGTGTTAGTTACTAATTAATTTTAATATTTTTATTTGTAAAAATTAGCCAAGTAAAATATGTGACACTAAATTGCTGCATTTGGGGTGTTGAAAAAAAGGATTATATACCTAGGATAAAATTAATATGTGGATGAAAAAATTGAATAGTAGAAATAATTACAGTTTTATTATAACTAGGATTTTTATATAATAATTATTTTATTCTGGATTACCAATTTCCACCACTCTAGCTCTGCCGCTGGAGCAATTACACTTCGTGCATCTTCGTTGTGTCTATGACGTCAGGACTTTACTTCGGCAAAGCAAGACGCCAATGGCATCGCTTCTTTTGGTCACGTGGTCTCACTTGGCCAATGGGAGTGTGGAATTCTCATTTGTAGTCGGATATTTTCTGACAAGCGTAGAAAAACTTTTCATCAACAGCCGCCATTTTGACTATCCGAGAGTGAGTTGAAATTTGGATATTATTCTTCAAATTATCGGTAATTTTTGTCCAATTAATGATTATTTATGAAGTTGTTTTAGTGATATTTTGTCTGTAGTTCAATTCTAAAAAGTAATTGTTTATCATAGTGCGTTTCAAAGTGAGAAACTGTGCGTGATATACATTGCGATCATTGTGTGAGTTTCGACGGAAGATGGAGAGAGGAACAGTGTAAGCTCATCGGCCAGCTTGGGTCTTCATTATGCCCGATGGTTGATTTTGCGTTATTATTATGTGCCTTGAGGGATATTTTAAATATCGGACTTATGGCACAGATATTTTAAATTTATGCACCAGCCGTTGGATGCGACTAAAATCATGTACGAATTATAATTTTTATTAAATACGAGTACTCAGTCCAGGCAAAGTAGGTACGGCTTTGTAAACAGGGGAGATATGGCCGATCATCTTGTCACGGACGGGCCGCCAAATAAGCGGCCGAAATTGACGGATCCGTTTCAGGGGACTTCAGATTCGTCTGGTGAGTATTTTTTAAATTAAATTGTTAAATATTTCCAAATAAATCCACTGCATGTCGAAATAATTAATATTTTCATCAATTCGATGACAATAAGCTAGGCCTACCTAACAATAACAAAATGTCTGGACGTCTCTTTTTCTCTCAAAACCGAAATTGGTTTAATTAGGCAGATCATATTAAAGTGTTTCATTATTGACAGGTCATAAAATTACTAAATATTTAAATATTTAGGTTTTTAGGTTTAACCTTCTTTTTCAAATGAGGTTATCTTCATGTTAGTAAGAATAAGTTAGCCTAGTAAGGCTTCATAGACCTATTCATATGGTAAGGCTAAACTAAAGTTAGCCTTATTAAGTTAAATAAAAAGGCGTAGGCCTACACTCTTTGCACATTGCACACTTTGTTCTCTATTAGTAGGTAACTAAAAGGCTCAAGGCCTAGTCCAAGGCTGAAATGTAAAACCGTCCGAAGCAAATAGCCTAGCCTACAACACCCTGAAAAATTGTCCCTTAGGCTACTCTGAAACATAACTGAAGTTAGCCTTTATAAGTTTTAGGCCACACTTTTTGGAACAAACGTTTGTTTAAAATCAAGGTTCCTTAACTTAAAAGTGTAAGGATTGTTTTAGCCCTAGGACTGGCAATAAGTTTATGACGATTTTTGTCTTGTGTACGTGCTTCCAGAACTCCCATATGACGGAGATCGTCATATAGCTTAACTTAGTGTAACTTTTTAACAGCTTACCTTATAACTAATTTAAAATTAATTTATTGCAAACCAAATAAGTTAAGTTTGATACCATTCTAAAGATGAGGTTCCAAGCTTTCATTTTCATTAAGTTAGTCTAAGTTAAGTACTTAAGTTAAACGAACCTTATAACTTAACTTAGCATTAACAGATTTAATTTTCGTTACTGTAGGCTACAATTAGAATGACAATTTAGGCGCGAGACGATTTGAGGTTTGGTGCGTCAATTCATACTCATGTTCAAAAAATCGTAAGTTAACTTACCGTCAGTAATTTTACGTCAAACTGGATGTGGTTGGTACCAATAAGTTATAGCCTACATTAGATTTTGTTCTTCAGTTTATTTTCGTATCAAGAAGATTAGGCCTAACTTAAATAGCCTAAGCTTAATGTCAGACAACTTGAGAAATAATAATAAGTAATAATAATAGGTTAAATAAGTTACCTTATTTACATCTTCAATCCAAAGTAGTCTTTTTATGATTAGGCCTACTATAGTTTCGAGGCTAACAGCTCCATTGTCAAATCTTCTTTTCTTGTTAAATTACTGTGAATAGCATTGGTCATAGTTGAAGATCACATGTAGGGGAAGGTGTTGTACCTTGGACCTATATGTACCTTGGACCTATGTTCATTCTGGCACTAGCCTATCTGTTGAGTATAGGGAGAACTTGTACCCTTAGTTTAAATGCTTTAGCCACCAGAGGTCTATCCTAATGTGTTCAAGTTGGAATTGAATGTGTCCTTTTGACAAGAAAACTAAAACAAGTTTTTATAAGGAAAAAGTAAGTATAGGTATTCAACTTTTAATCTATCTATATAGGCTATTAATAGGCAAGCATGTTTCTTTAAAACCTTTTTTCTCAGCTCGTATGCATTGTGGGGTAAATCTACGCATAACTTACTGTTAGAAAGCTATTTTCCTGTAGGTGTGCAGAATCCCTTTATAAATTTAAATAGGCTCAAAGATAAGCACAAAAAATGAGTTTAAAAATTTGAAAAAATTAACATGGATCTTGTGCGTTGCCATGCTGGTGACGAAATAACAACAAAATATTAACAGAAAATCAAAACAAATAGAAGAAACTCCAATCACATGTTTTATTTACAGTGTGGGGTGAAAATAACTTAGAGAAGTGAGTAAGTTTACATTACATATTTTTGGTCGAGTTTCGACCACAAGATGTAAGAATACTTTTTATTTGCAATCTTTATGATTGGAAGGGCGTCAATACAGTTGTGCAGTTGTTATATAAAAGTCAATACAAATTGTTATTTTTTAAGAATAAAAAATTGTTGATCAGAGTTCTTGCAGTGAAGACATGATTTATTCAAGTTCTTGCCAAGACAAATACTCATCCAGACTATAAAATGGTCTATGTAACAGCTAGCACTTTAGTTCTTTCTTCAGTTTTCTGGGTTGAAGAGACTTTAAGTGGACGGGAAGGACGTTAAAAAACTTGGCACGCATGTATGAGGGTTTCTCTTCATAGAGCCTTGTGTTGTGAGCAGGAAGGTTGTAATCATTTCTTCATCTTGTGTTGTATGAGTGCACCTCCTGATGACGACAGGCCCGGGAAGAGTGGACAATGGTAAGAGTCCGTAGTATGAAGAGGTTGACTACGGTCAGGATTTTTAACCTCCTAAACTCTGGTCTGCAACTATCTGTTGTCTCAATGCCAGTCAGGGTTCGAACAACCCTCTTTTTCATGATTAGAACTCTGTTAAGGTTCTGTGCCGACGATCCACCCCACACCACAATGCCATAACAGAGAATACTCTCAAGAAGGGCATAGTATGCTGTTAGTGCCGCCTCTTCTGTGCTCACAGCCATTGTTCTTCTCAGTGCAAAAATTGCGGTGCTTAGCTTATGGCAGAGTGCTTCAATGTTTTCGTCCCAAGCGAGATGTTCGTCAATGATGACACCTAGATGTCTTACAGAGCTAACAGAGTCAATGTCGGGAATACAGCAGACGAAACTTTTCCTGTTGCTGAATGAAACTAGCTTGGTTTTTGAAGCGTTGAAAACAAGGTCATGATTGTCGCAGTACTCCGCAGCTAGGCTCAAACCAATGTAGGCATTGACTTCTACGTTGTTGATCGGTGAGTTTGAAGAAAGCAAGACAGTGTCATCTGCATACATTATAGCTTTACTGAAGGGTTCGGTGGTATCTGGAAGGTCGTTCGTCGATAAGATATAAAGCACCGGTCCCAGGACTGACCCCTGTGGAACTCCTCTGGACACTGGGCGTACTTCAGATCTAACGGTGGTGATAGTCCTATTCCTGGAGTGGCTGAGTTCGACTAGCTGCGTTCGACCCTTCAGATACTGAGTAAACCAACCAAGAGCCGTTCCACATACTCCCAAGGAGCTAAGCTTTGAGATGATCAAGTCATGGCTCAGGCAGTCAAACGCCTTACTCATGTCAACAAAAATGCCGACAACGTTATTACCACTGTCTATATCATCAATGACAGACTCTACGAAGTCAATAAGTGTGCCGTGGTTGTGGATTTTCCCTTGACGAAACCATGTTGTCTCTCTGTCAAGAGTTGATTAGAGAAAAGATGTTCTAATAGCCTCTTTAAGACAATCTTCTCCAGGATCTTCGAAAAGGTTGGAATCAAAGATATTGGTCGATAGTTCCCAATGTCAAGTCGAGTTCTTTTTTTGTGTAGGGGAGAGATCTTCGTTGTCTTCATGTTCGATGGGAAATTACCTTGTGTGAGTGATAATTGAATTACGTGAAGCAAGGGCAGCAGAAGCTCCTGTCTGCAGGATTTCACTATCCTAGCTAATTTAGTTTGCTATGCAATGTGGGGAACATCCCTTCAGTCTTTCTCTTACTTAATATTGGATGGATCCACCATATTCTCTGTTGTGATTGATGTCGTCTTGCTAAAAGTACACTGATAACAACACTACGAATGTTAATTTGCGGCATGATCCAGGGCCACGTTTAACTCGGGGCTACTTTTCACTAACATTTATTGTGTTTTAATGTGTCATATCAAAATAAAAAAATAAAAAGGTAAAATAGGTCCTAGGTACAACACCTTCCCCTAGACATAAGCTATACTCACACACAAAACATTAATATAGCCTATAGCCTAGAAAGTAACATTAAAAATTTGTATTTTGGCCGGCCTAAAAATGATTAGCATAGTGGTTGTACGGACCGGTACACTGACTGACTCAACCTTAGCACTCAATTTAGCATTCAGTCAGTGTACCGGTCTGTACAACCACTACGCTAACTTAATAATTGTTGTTTGGGCCGGCCAAAATACAAATTTTCAATGTTACTTGTATATATTAATGTTTCGTGTGTGAGTGTATGTCTACATGTGATCTTCAACTATGACCAATGCTATTCACAGTAATTTAACAAGACAAGAAGATTTGACAATGGAGCTGTTAGCTCCGAAACTATAGTAACATAAAAAGACTATTTTGGATTGAAGACGTAAATAAGGTATTAAACCTATTATTATTATTACTCTTTATCAATCCAGTAGGCAAAAACATGGATAAAAAATAATAATTAATAGAAATCCTCCATTTATCGATATTTACCAATTTTACATATTTATTTCACTTAACTTATATGGGGTATAATTTTTTTTTTTTTTTTTTTTTTAATCAAACCTAGGCCTAAATTATTTCCACGTAGGGAAATAAAATGCTAGGTACTTTTTGTATATCCTGGATTTTTTGTTAATTATTTTTTAGGAAAATACCAGGACTCTACACTCTACTTTTGAAATTTCTCTAAACAATTTATCAAAAATATTGGTTTTTTAACTGTAGAAAAGAACTACCGTAGGCCTACCCTAAGGGATTTTTATAGGCATCCTATTTATTTTATTCAAAATCTCCTTTTTGTTGACAAAATGAGTAGGCTATGTATATGACTAGGTTATCGTAAGTAATTTAGACACTGCAAATTTGTTAAAAACCCCCTTGCGAAATCGCAAAAATGACAGGGACATTCATCCAAACTATCAGGGCAGTCCTAGGGTTAAAGGGCCTAAATAATTGTTCTCGTAAGATTATAACTCATCTTGGCTAATTTGAGTTAGGCCTACTGTGTCATTATGACAAGGTTCACACATTTTTCATGGAATAAATGACGCTAACTTAAGTTACAGATTTAGGTTACCTACTTGAATTTTGAAGTGGGTTTACAACTTTAAGACAGATTGGCGTTTAAATGGTTTGAAACCCATTTTGTTGACGAACCACACTCTCTAGTAAGTTAGCAACCAAACATGGGCCTAAGTTATAGAGTTAAGAATTTTAATGCTTACATTTTAACTTAAGTTAAGTAGGCCTACCTTAGGGCCTAGCCTATAAGCTATGAGAAAAAATGAAGCTATCCCTAGATTAGCCTACCGTCACAGAAAACATACTACTATAACCCAGAATGCCAACCGCATGGTAAAAAGCATTAAGTGTTTTGAGAGAGCTTTGCCTGTCAATCGTAGGCAGCGCCACCAGCGTTGCTATGCTGAGTGCATGGCAACGCTGGTGGCGCTGCCTACGATTGACAGGCAAAGCTCTCTCAAAACACTTAATGCTTTTTACCATGCGGTTGGCATTCTGGGTTATAGAAATATGTTTTCTGTGCTACCGTACAATAAGTTAATTAACTTTTAGTTACCGGGAGGCCTAAATGTAGGTAAGTTAGTTAAAGTTAGATCCTAAAGTTAACTACTAAGATTGGCTATTAAGTTAGAAGTTAACTTAATAGTCTACCTGACGTCTAGATTAATTAAGTTATACTTAATTCAGTTAATTCTCATTCAAATAACTTATTTTAATAGCATTAAGTATTGTAACTTATTGTCTGCAAAGCTTCATAACTTAAGCTTGGCTATCTGAATGTTTGTAATGAAACTATAGCCTAGGCCTACAGATTAAGATGGCAGCACTCATGCTCCTCCTTTATAGCCATAGGTAATTTAAATAAGTTAGGCCTGCTCTCAGACCTCAGCTTCTCAGTAGGTAACTTCTAGGTTATTTACCTTTATGATGAGGAAGACACTTAAGCAGCTGCCTACTTCATTTTTGAGGATGTTGCCTTCAGATTACTTAGTAAATTAACTAAATAAGTTTTTCTAGAGGTTAAAATACTTTGTTGCCATCGTAATTCTTGGTTGTCATAATAGTGACTAATTTTGACACTTAAGTTTAAGTTGTCATTGTCAAGCCTTGAGTTTAGACGTGTAATATCGCTTCTAGGAGGTCGTCAAAAAGTCCTCAGAACACGTATCTTAACCTAATAACTTACTTTTACGAACAAATAATAACCTACCGGTAGGCCTACTGTAAGTTATGGCCATAAGTTTACATCTAAGTGATCACTGCGCGGCTGCAGGTTCAGGGTGTAGGTGCCCCCTCGTAGTCTAGACTTGCACCCTGAACCCGCACTGCCTGTGATCATGGTCAAGTATGGCCATGAGTATGGCCATAAGTTGATATCGGCCTACCTAAAATTACAGATTTTCTGCCAATTAATTAATGAGTCATATATAGGATCTTTGATCCTACTTTGATCTTTGCCATCATTTATAGGCTAAATTGGATAACTTATGCTTAATTTAAGTTACCAGGGCACAACAAAAACTGTTTCAAGCTTTTAAAAGCTGCTAATTTAGGATATATCAAAGCTAAAGCTTACCTAAAACACCTAATTTAACCTTCCTATCGAGAAGTTCCTAGGAACTATAGGCCCCTAATGCCCTTTAAGTTAGTCTAGTTATCATTATCAGGTTTAAAACTTGACTTTTTTGTGGGGAAGGCCTAGGTTAACTTAAAAAGCTGCAGCTAAAGCTCATCTTCGCATGGCATAACTTAACTTATACGTAACTGCATGCTGCATGATCATTAATCTTTTGGTTTTATTTTCAACATTGATCAATCTGAAATCTGATGCTTTATATGTCTAAGCTAGTAAAGCCTACTTATTTTCATAATCTGAGCATTTTCTTAATAAGACTAGGACCAATTGAGTTAATTTATGTGAAATTGGAATGTTATGGTAAACTACTTAATTATTTCAAGTTTGCTTTTAACGTTGATAAAAAACCTCATTTTAAAATTGATATGACTCTAGTTAAAGCCTAATGCAAGATATTTTTGGTTGGCCCTTCCATCTTTGTAATGTGTTTTAAAACAAAGAAAATTGACTATTAATTAGAGAAGTTTAAGACGTAACAAAATAGCCTATCAAGAATTTTAAGTTAAGGAAGAGTAGCATTTTTAAGTTTAACTAAAGATTCAAGTTACTAAAAATTTTTTTGTTATCCTAATTAGTAAGTGATTTGATTAAGTACACGTTAATTTTCATTATTTTAACACAATATTTTGTTCTGTTAGAAGATGTAGGTAGACTAATAGAATTTCTTAATGACCCAAACAAAAGACCATTTTTAAAAACACCATTAAAGATCTATGAGTTTGAAATCATGCTCATTTGTACAAATAACTTTTTATACTCTTAATAATTTTAGTTTCTAATCAGGTTTTGGTACCTACCTAATTTTTGTAAATGTAGAAACAGAAGAACTTATAACAGAAGGCTATTTAACACAATATTTATTTGAGTAGAATGCTGATTACGGATGGTAATTTGTAATGCAACTAATCAGTCCAAGAGGCATTTTAGTTTTGGTTGATGGTTTTCTTTTTTGATGGAGTGTTTTGTTTATTTTGGGGTGATAGCGCTGTCGGCACATCATGCTTACACCAACTACGGCTTAACTTCGTCTGGTCTGGCAAGTGGTGGAGGCCCCCTACAGCAGCAACCTCAACAATGGAACACAACCAGGAGAAGTAAACACTATTCATATCTTAACACTCAAAGAAAATCAATTGATTAGCTTAAATATATTGACTTAAGTAACGGCTAACGACATGTTTCAAGAAGGCACTTCAGTTCTTGTCTAGGCTACTTCAAAAAATGGATGGTAAAAATGGAACTAAAAGTTATGATTTTATTAAATAACCAAAGACTTTTAATTTTAACTAAACGTAAATATGCAATTTAGGACGTTTTGTCTAAAAAATAGTCATCCAAATTGATTAATCTAACAGTCTTGTGCCTTTTAAATGTATGATAATATGAAATTATTTTAAGTAGGGTAGGTCTAATTCATTTGTATTTATAATCAATATTCATTTAGGCTAATTGAAAATCACCCTTGTAATGATTTTAGGTCTACTTACAATGTTACAATATCTTCTCCCTCTGTGCTGTTGGCTAACTTACAATCTGTAGATTAAAATACTAATTTGACTAAAACTCAACTTTTCCAACACAGTGTACATATGTTTATGGTAGGCCTACTCGCTGCAGTAGGCCTAGGTGAAACGAGTTTATTAACAACCTAATCAACAACTAATTATCTTTCAGCTCAACATCATTGATCCTGACATTGTGAATTAAGTTACTGTGTTATATTTAATTAGCAATTTTATACGATGATTTGTAAAACAAATTTGAACAATTTAGTTTTGTTCAGTCGTTCTCTGGCAAATATAGGTCTATACTTTGCTCTAACGACTACTCTTAGTATAGGCTACAGCAGAAACTTACACTTTTTTTATTCCTTAGTTGACCTACAACTCGTAGTAATTTACAGTACATTAGATTCACAGACTTCCTCTTAATCGTTATACTAATTTATCTAAATCAGAAAACATTGTTTCACTTTAGTTAGTTTGAACAAATTAATCCATTTCCCATTTTGTATAAAATATAAAGTGTGATCAGTTAACTTAAAAAAATATAGTGTTGTCAAATTTCAACTTTCCATTTTGTAATGATTTTAGTCACACAAGTCATATGGATTTTACAAAGTAATGATGTGCAAGACACTTGTATGTTACTGGTTTGGTAAACGGTTAGGTCAAACAAATGCAAAAGTTCTAACGTAGGCATATTTTAATTAGGGCCATCTCTAAAAATGTCATCGTCCTGTCCGTATGGTTTCCGAAAATGAATGATAAACAAAACAGGTATTCTGAATGGATAGGCCTATACTCTAATCATAAGGCTACCAACAAACTGTCAACTGAAATCCCCACAAGACTTCTTTTAATTCTGATGGTTTCCATACAGTACAGTTAAATGCACTACCCGGATATGATTTATTTCAGCTCATCTGGGGAAATGTTAGTTATGATAGTTGATGAATTCTTTATATTTTTTTATCTTTTCGTTTAATTAGAGATGTTGGTGTAAACCAAACAAATATTGTTTTTATGAAACTGATTTTGGCATGCTTCTCCGTTAGCATGGATATAGCAGCTGCGTAGCTTCGTCAATATTTCCTTTAATTCTTAAATGTGTTTTTCTTTGGTTATGCTTAATATATGTTTTGATTTGTTTCTTTTACCGTACTGTGTGTTTGGAGGCTTCTTCTCAGTAGCATCACAGCTTTTGTGTATAATTGTTTTGAGATTGTAGTTGTTCTTTTTTACTATATTGAAAAGTAGGCCATATGTTTCACCGAATTAATGTTTGCAGTAAAATCCAAGAGTAAAATGATACCAATCCCACTGTTTGAAATAGGCTACTTCGGATTACCTTACATGTAGGCCTACCGTTAATTGGGAATTTGAGCATTTCAATAAAACGAGTCAATTATATTTTGACGTAGGGCCTACACACCATTTTTATAATTTTGTGAATTGAAAATCTGGAATAAAGGTTGAAAATGTAAGTAACTTTTTTGTGCAATTAAATCATTAGGCCTAAACCAGGCCAATTCAAAATAATCTTTAAAACAATATAATTTTGTATTCAAATAGTATTTTTAATACAAAATTGAATAGTCTTCCAAAACTTGCAAACAAATTCCAACTAAGGCCTGTGCTGATATAGCAGGCTTGTGCAAATCTGACCTTAGCACTGTCTTCTTTATTTTGTACTAAATAGGGACTAAAGTTAAAGTAATTTTACTTGCAGATCGGCGTGTTTAAGAAACGAAGGGACTTCCACTCATATTTCACTTCTATGCACATCCATCAACTGGGGATTGATTTTAATAAAGGTTGACAATTCAGACTAAAACAATCAAGTCCCTAATCTAATGCAACTGATACTACTTGGCAAATTTTATCTTCTGTTGGTAATGGCTACAACAACAATACTGGCGTTGCTCAACCAAAATAGTGGTTGGGCCGGCACTAGTATCAGATTGTAATTATTTTTCTCTGCAGTGACCATATCTTATTGGAGAACTTAAATATACACGCAACACCTTTTTATTTATTTCCCCTAGAAGTCACAATATTAAAAAGAAAAGGATTTAATCTTTAATTTCTCCTACTATATCCTCTTGAATTAGAAGAAATGAATAACTAATCAATAAAAGGTTACATTACCTGCAGACTGCCTTGTGGGTTTTGTTAATCCAGTAGGATTACGTACGTTTCGGCAAATATATTGCCATCATCAGATCCCAGAACTTGAAGGTTAAAATCTTGATTTTTCGACACACATGGTCACGTCAAAGTTTAAAATAGAACACATACACAAAACGAACATTAAATACATGTAGGCCTACTAATAATAGTAGGCCTACATGTATTTAATGTTCGTTTTGTGTATGTGTTCTATTTTAAACTTTGACGTGACCATGTGTGTCGAAAAATCAAGATTTTAACCTTCAAGTTCTGGGATCTGATGATGGCAATATATTTGCCGAAACGTACGTAATCCTACTGGATTAACAAAACCCACAAGGCAGTCTGCAGGTAATGTAACCTTTTATTGATTAGCTAACGTGGTTTAGAAAAACAACTACATTATGAAGGAAATGAATAACTGTTTTAGTATGGATATTAAGATATATTGGACCAGCTGTCGAGGTAGTTTTGTTTGTGATCCAGGATAAAAGGTAAACAAAGAGATGAACCAACGTCCAACAACATTGTCAATAGTCAGTGACACTGTCAGTAAGAATGATCTTTGTGGGGCAGTCCATCTATAGTGTGTTGTTCTTCCATATAAAAAACATATAATTCAGCTTATAAACATATTAGATCATATTTGTGGCAGTCTGAAGTAGTTAGATTGTGATTAAGTCTTCTACAAAAGAGTAACAGTTTTGTGTTTGGCTAAGTAAGTGATTTAGCTGAAATCAATATTACAATGTTAATTCCAACTAACCGAATTTGTAAACATAACTGATGACACATCTTTAGTTATGAAAGTGTATTAAGGGTAACAGTTTTGGGAAAAACCACGTTGTAAATACAATTAGGTTGCTAACTATTACTACCACACTACATCTATAGCTCGGTTTACACAACCCAATCTCGGGACCCTAAATCGTGCCCGATCGACGTCGGCCCTGAAATCCGATTGTGTAAACTCGTGCTCCTGGTCACAATTTGGCTGGCGACCAGGTAGGGAGGTCGGGAGAGATTTCCATCGGATTTAGTGAGGTAAAGTGGGGATAGGGCACTTCCGCTAGGAACGGGACGTAAAAAGTCAAAATTCTTCACCTTTTTTCACATAACTGTTCTATTATATTTATTTAAGGTCACCATGTACGGTATTGTGAAAATCAGTTTCATATGTAAGAAATTCTGAAGGCCTTCAGCATCCTAAACGTCCATAAGTCTTGCATGACTTAATACAGGTCTTTGGAGGTACTGTAGGATATATCTGTTTCACCTATATCCTCTTTTTCCTCCTTTCTGTTTTGCACACTGCCAACACAGTTAATGCTACTCCAACAACTTGCCGCTTCGATAAATATATGGAATATTATTACATTACACTAAGAAAACTAAAAAACAGCTTTTTAGCTAAAAATGATGTTTTTCAACGAAGGACAGCAACGCACTGAACTCAGATTGGGCACAGAATACGGGTCATGATAGAACGCTCTTTCGTCCAGGCGACAGGGCGGTCGGGACCTTGAACGGGAACAGGTTGTGTAAACTGGGCTTATATTGAAACTAGCGTGAGTAGGATCTTAAATATCTCAGCATTTTCTAAAACACTTGCATTGTTTTCAGTGAGAAACTTGTTTTACAGGCATTAGCACCAACCACTCTAGGGTACTGTATATCTGTTTCACCTACATCCTCTTTTTTTCTCCTTTCTGTTTTGCACACTGCCAAATATCAGTGGCGAGGGTATAGTCACTTTTCATTGACCAAGATTTGTATTTGTGTCTGTATGGTCTGTTTCCAATATGCCATCCCCAATTCAAACTAAGACACTGAGTCATATAGGCCAGGTGGAAGGTCATACTTATGTGTATTACCAGGGTGGATTTGCTTGACTCTTAACACTAATGAAGCTACTTTAACTTGAATAAAATGGCTGAATTTGAATTGATTTCAAAAAAATTTGGAAACGAAAGGTCGAATGTTTTTGCTTATAATCTTTTTACCTCTTCAATTAACTGCCTCCATCTCGTCCAATCCTATGTCTCTTAGTCATCAGCTCTCAACAATCTTGTGTCTTTGGTTTCTTTAACTTTCCGCCTCTTCAATTAGTCTTCATTCATCTAGGTTTCCTTTTTCAGTTGTTTCAGCTCCCTTCATACTACATGTCTGGTACATCTCATATGTCTGTGCTCTCCTACTTTAGCTACTAGGACTGGTGCTTGATACAGATATCATAGTTTTGTTAGATTCTCTATTCACTTTTCTTTTTGTTAGGCAAAAGATTTTACTTCATTTTCAAATGTCTCTAACTTTTTCTCAGCACCTTTGTCTAAAGTCCATGTTTTGGAACCATTGGAGAGAATTGGTCATGTTTATATTTGTGTAAATTTTAGTTTTGTCAGGACAGTCAAGAGTATTGATCATAAATATTTATTAGGCATAAACACTTCTGCTGGCTGGATTTACTCTGCTTTGTATTTCTAAATGTTTACTAGCTAGATATGGTTCCAACTTATTCAAAAATCTACTTTTTTAAAGATCGGGTCTTCTTAAGAAAATCTTTTTGAGTGGTCCTGATGTCTTTAAAATATTTTTGTCTGGTGGTACATGTTAGTAAACTTACCGTACTTTTGTTGTAATCCTCGTCTTTTACCATTGTGATGATCACTGTTTCGAGTTCTAATGAAATCATGTCACCAATATGTTATTATTATAACTGCAGTGGAAGTTGATGATGAGTAGAAGAGTTTTAATCCCATGCAGTCAATTATTAGTCTACTGTGCCAAATATATGGTAGAAAATATATTCGGTACAATATATCTAGTTTTCATAAGCCTTTTTTCAAATCCTCAAATATTTATCACATTATGAGGCCACAAGTTTAAAAGTGAAAAAATTATTCAAACTAACTCTGAAATCTAATTACAGCAGATATCTTCACCAACAACGACATGTTCAATATTGAAAATGACCTGCCTGATGATTTGCTGGGGGATTTGACTGGGTCATCATCATGGAGCTCGGTGGCAGACGCCCCCACATCTAAGCCCCCCGCCACAGGCCCGGGCCCTGGCAACATGCAGAATGGGGCCCTGGACCAGGACGGAGCCCCCATGCAGCAGAGGCACATGGTAGCCTCTCAGCAATTGCAACATCAACTGATGCAGCAGGTAACATTATTTTATGTTGACCTTTAGTAAGAATTAAACTAACAGATAATCACTATATTATAGAAGTGCTGAAACCACAGTCTATAGACCAATTACCGACCGCGCTATCTGGAGTTGCACTTGGATTAACTTAGTTCAAGACCTGTATGTGTTGTAGCACTGGCGTTGACATGTCCCAAAAATATTGCAGCGCCCAGTGCAGTGGCGTAACTAACACCAATGCAACCGAGGCGCAGGCCTCTTGGGGGGGGCAAAGAACTGATTCAAATTCTTCTAGAAAATTGTTAGGAAAAATATATGTTGAAGCAACTCTCTGTAGCTTACCAAAAATAAATGTAAAAAAACTTATTTTTTACTTATATAACTTGATTCCGTTACAGTCACAACCAGAATGTTGGTGACTCTTTAGTTTACTATTATCTCCTCGGCGCGCTGGTGCACATCTGAGCTTTTCACGTTCTTTTTATAAAAATAGAATAGACTACTCTTGTTTATTTATCGTTGTTAGCTACAAAGATAGAAATCAAATCTTTCAGTTTTTTTTTTTTTTTTTTTTTTTTTTTTTTGAAGTTCATTGTTGGTGATGGTGAGTTAATGTTGTTCAAAGGTTTATTGCGGATATTTTCCATCACGAATGTAAAAAACAATTCAGTATTATTTTAGTAACCACGACCACGTATCCCTGTTGTTGTACGATCGTGCAGTTGAGTAGTGTTATTTGTTTTATAACTATACAAAACAAATGTTGTCTGTGTATTTGTTATACAATTGAAATTTCATAATTGTGTTTCGTAAGAACAATCTTAAACCACTACAAATGTTACACTTGGAAACAAAATTTATTTCTGTCTTCATTTGTGTCAATTAGTATGTCCATGAACATTATGGCGCACAAATCATACACCTTTTTGTATTTTTAAATCACTGTAAATTAAATCAATTGGATTTTCAGCATTTAAATTTAATGCAAAAGTATTCAATGGATTTTGATTTATTCATAAAAATAAAACAATGGCATATAATTTGTGCACCTAAGTTTTCATGGGCCTTAATATTTACTATTAAAAGTGCTCAACTTAATTATAAGTCTTCGTCCGAACGGATGGGTGTCAAAAAAAAACTCAGTGATAGCGGTTTATCATTGTGTACCACTACAGTGTGACTGTGTATGCATAACTGCGCGCGTGTGTAGGTCACTTGCCATGCCAACCGCCATGTTGCTCGTACTTTACTGTCATCTGCAACTGTTAGTATCCCTGGTCAGCAGAAAACGGCGCGTGTGAGGACGTAGTTTAAACATGAATCAGTAGGTAGCGCCCCAGATCAGTGGTTATATTTAAAAATATTATCTAACAGTCATCAGTAAGCGGTCTGTAATGGTCTATTGTCTGTGCTGAAACACACACAAGCTGTTGACAAACTCCAGATATTTCCTGAAAATGTCCTAAATATTTCTGTTAGTTAAACACCCCATTATTTCACACATTTTTTTCTTCATCTTAATCACTTTATTTTTTTTCCTTGTTAAAGCACTAATATTTTATTATTCTTTGTTGCATGTGTTTGTCTAAACAATTAAATTAATTCAATACAAAATATTTAACATGTGATAAAACAAAACACAGTACCGTAGTTTAGAAAAAATATAACAGTTAGATCAAAAGGAAAATCAATGAAGTGAAAACATATTCAATAAAGTTCACAACAATGATGTTGCATGAAATAAAAATGTTTGAATTGAATTGAATTGAACATTCAATAACCTGGCATTAGTTCAAGGGTTTTTTTTTTACTCTGAATAAGTATTTCCAATCACATTTATTCAGCAGAGTTGGTGATGGGCGATCGAGTATAGTTAGAAAAAGGGTCTGACACCTATTGGTAGTAATTTATACTCAATTTCATAAATGTTACCTCTACCCTCACGACGACTATTATCAGATGTTGCTCAATAATTTGACATTTTTCTTTAATACGGCATAGCGGATTTGCCAAACATATTGTAATAGTACGTTTCTAATGTAAATTATAACGTTACAATTATATTTTAAAATGTATTTTAATACACAACATCTTAGATTGTGTGCTTCTTGGTCACTAAGGAGTCTGAACTATCAAAACTCTCGCTGGGTTGATTCAGTTATGTATTCTATCCAATAATGTTTGTGGGTAAACTTGCTAAATTAACCATGATGGACAAAAATGTAACAATGGTTGTTATATCTTGCATTTTAATAGAGTGACCTTGATTGTAGATAGTCGTCCTCACTGGTACAATAGATGGTACATAGATGGTACAATCGTACTGAGAGTAATTGTGTTGCAGATGTTGCTGAACAAACAGGGTCAGTCACTGGGGCTGGGCGGAGGGCTAAAGGCCAACCCCGCCACCATGCAGTCCCCACCCAACGTGTCTGTCAGCAAAGGAGACCCCATGGTCATGCCCAGCAGTATGGGAGTTGGTCTCAACAACGTGCCTCCAGCCAGTATGTAACTCGTTATACTAACCTAATTAAAACCCTTAACTCACATCAACTATCACAAATTTTAAATTTATAAATTAATCAGATGGTTAGATAGAACTTGAAATAAGACAAATTGTTAAAACTATATATTGTCACTGCGACCATAGGGATTAAGCTTTGGAGACTATTGTGCCTTCTGTTTGGTTTTGTTGATTCTGATTGTGTGTGTGTAGAGGGTGTGTGTACGGTAGTGTGAATTACTGTATTGTCTCCGTGGTTGCAAGTCCAATTAAAATACATTCCTAACTGTTAGGCATCTGTAGCATTATTGAATTAATAGCTTTAAATTTTCAATTTATCTGTTTTTTATTGCTCTCATTTGTTTAAATTAATCTGGAGCTACTGCTCTCAGGCGAGATCACTCTCCCTCATGTTTATTTAATTTAATCTAGTAAGGTTGTGTTTTAATATCTAGCTTGATATTTGAACTCAATCAGTTATTTATGAGAATGTGATTTCAGACATGATAATGACGAGTCCACCAGTGAACTCGATGGGAGGCATGGCAGGTGGAGGCATTGTAGTAACTAACAGCCAAAACAAGCAGAATCTTCCCACCACCATGTTAGCTGGTGGTCCCAACGCTAATCCTCAAGGTTAGTGACCAGTAAATTTGGGGTGTTTATTGTTAAAGTATCTACTTGATTTTTACTAGGAATGGGCCGATTCCGATTCCTTATACCTCGATACCTTTAATACTAGTATCGAAGAATTGCCGATACTCGATACTTCGCAACATTGTACTCAATACCTAATCTAAAAAGTGAGATTAATTATGATGCAAAACTCGACTGAGTTGAAGGTTGTAAAGAGTGGCACATTATAGTTTATTTGAAATACTTTGAAGTCAGCAAATATAAATAATTCCAAGTTCCTTAGCTCACATTCGTTATTAAATCTATACTTATTTAATTTGCAAGCAGGTTTTTTGTGACAATTACTCCTCCGAAACTACTGAACCGATTGACATGTTTTTGGTGTCATTGGAAAGTATACCGACTACAGAGAACTTCTAACAAAGAGTTTCTGACACAGATTGTCTGTTAACAGGAATCATGCATCACGGGGTTCCCAACCAGGGTCTACAGAACGGACCAATGATGGCAGCTCGCGTGGGAGTGATGCAGCAGCAGACACACCTGGTCAACAGAGGGCAGAGTCCACACCAGGTCCACGCCATCAGTGTGGGCCAACCCAGAATACAGGTAAGCTTTTACAGGGTGTCCAGACCAGGAAAATAATAGTACGTTTAATATTGATGATGACTTATAGCGAAAAAGTCGGATATATAACGGATAGTGTCGGATATCGAATTTGGGCTCGGTTCGGTTACGGATATCCGAACCGAACCGAATCCGACCCGATTTTTCGGATATCCGCACACCTCTAGTGAGCTCCTCACAGTCAAAGAGCAGGTGATCAGTAGTTTCCTCTGACCTGCCGCATTTCCTGCATAGTGGTGCACAATCCAATTTGTTGCAAATGTTTTCTGAACCGTCCGTGTCCGGTAATCAGTTCTACTATAAATTATGGCTGATTCTTCACCAAACTCAGAATGTCCAACTCGTTTTGAACCTAATAGCAGACCTTACCTAACCGTACCTAATAGGAGTCTACTGTACTTGTTCTGTTTTTTTGTTGTTTTTTTTTTTTTTTTTTTGGTCAATTTGTATGTTTAATCGTCTTAACTTTTATAGTTTAAACAAGTTTTCAAGTACATTTTACTCTTCTGGAATTGGAGTTAATTTAGGTATTTTTGATGCTTTTTAATGTACTAGTAGGTACAAACAAGTAAATTGCCCTTTTGATGGGACGATGGACTCCCTGTGTAATTAAGTTTGCAGGGTTGCTATTAGTCAATTTCAGAAACTGAAAACTTGAACATTACAGTATTCTCAAGTGTTACTGTGTTGGATAGGGGCCCAACATGGCTGCTATGGGCCAGATGCCTGGAGGTATGGGTGCTGGACCTCAGTACAACTACAACAGAGGAGTGGGGGTAGCTGTGGTCACTCCTCAGCAACGCGGCCTTGCCAACAATCTGGCAATGCAGGCCAACCGCTTCGGTACAGCTGGCAATGCGATTGGTATGTGATGTATATTTATTTTATTTTTTATGTATGTCCGTCTGTGTTTGTTTTGTTCCTGGTAAATGCAAAACTTCATGCACCAAGCAGGCAGAAAATGTACCCAAAGGTTGATTGTGAACCTTTCTAATGTGTCTATTCACATTCCTTAAACTCCTCCGGCTTGAGCGGGGATATCTTGCAAAGTATGAAGATGGAACCTTTGCAGGTAAATAGTTATTGGTTTCTATATACAGTAGCAAATGAAGGAACCATAATGTTAACATTTTTACTATTTTCCTTGTAAACACTTCTTTAAATTTACCAATTTCACAATTCCTAGCTAATTGAGCAGTTCTTTACCTGTTTAAACAAATATTCCCTAAATATTTTTATAGTTTAAGATAGTACAATGTGTGTAGGTTTACATTATTGATTTGAACAAATGTGTTGTTCAGGCGGAGGTGTGGTGAACAGTGAAGGAGGCATGGCTCAACAAGCTCAGCCTCCCGCTCCGTCCCCAGCCCAGCCCCAGAGTGGGGGCCCCACAGGGGGTCAGCCGGGGCCCACACAGGCTGCGACTCCTCAGTCTCAATCTACAACCACCACAACACCCTCCACATCCACTGCCGACCCAGAGAAGAGGAAACTGATCCAACAACAGTTGGTGTTGCTACTGCACGCACACAAGTGTCAACGACGTGAGAGTCAGTCTAATGGAGAGGCTTGGCAGGTCTGTAGATCAGCTGTAGCCACTTACAGAGTGTGCAGCTCTCCCTTAGTCAATGTAACACAAGATATGCTATTAGCTATAAGTGGTCTTTCAGTTTACCTTTTTTTAAGTGAGTGCATTCGACAAAAATCAGTGATGCATGTCAAGAAAATTACAGCAGAATAAGAATAATTCATTCCATTGGTCTTTTTATAAAGAGCTAGGACATGTCATATAACATAACAAAATAATCATCTTAATACAATCACATTTCTTATAATATTACATCAATTACATTTTAAGCATAGTAACTTATTTTTCAGAGTTGATTATCCAAAATGATTGGGGATTGGGGGTGTTCAGATTAGTAAGCTAATTTTGTTTTAATAATCGGTCATTAAAGGTAAATTCAAGATACAATCTTTTAACTTTTATAATATGTAAATCTATTATACAAGTTTACATGTATTTATTACATGTTAGATAAGGGAAGCTAAACTTTTACGAGTGGGAAAAACATATATTCTCTGTCCAGTTGTTAATTAGGCAGCCATACCTAAATGGGAAAGAGATCGTTGCACAACAAACTCGAAAATCAATACACTATGTACTACAATTTCAACCGAGTAAGATAAGGGTAGAATGGTTTCAGATGATTGGATCTCAAGACATCTTACTTCTTAAACCTTCCTTGGTTGTCAATTAATACAGTCAGTGACAGTGAAATAAATCATTGTTTGTTCTATGCCACAGTGTACTTTCCATTCAGGTTAGCCTGTTATAAAAAAAACCTTAAAGCCTATGCCTTTCTGTTCCGTGTTGCAGAACGTCAGTTGTTCATAGTATTGTCCTATTCTTTCTCTTGTAAGTTTTATGCTGTATGTTTACCATCATAAATTGATCCCTGTACCTCTATATTGTATATTTACAGTGTACTTTGCCGCACTGCATGACAATGAAGAATGTGCTGAATCACATGACGACCTGTCAGGCAGGCAAGTCTTGCTCTGTTCCTCATTGCTCGTCGTCCAGACAAATCATCTCTCATTGGAAACATTGCATGAGAGCTGACTGTCCTGTCTGTCTGCCTCTTAAACAAGCTGATAAGAACCGAAACAATCCCAATGGTAAATATATATATTTTTTCATTCACTTGGGATATTTTGTCTTTCAATACTTTTGAAATCACTAATATTTCTTTTGGTTTCCAAACTGGTATCCTCTCGCTTGAATGAATCTTGCTTGAGTTGACCAGCACAATGTAGAGTTCCTCAAAATATTTGTTTTCTTTTATGTTATTTATCTTTTGCCACCTTAGTTATCCTTGAAAGTTTTTCTCAAGATGTTATATTTTCAGATTTTTTTAGGCTGAGAATACCAGTTTTCAGTTGTAGAAAAAGTACAAGAACTTGATAGTAATAGTTTAGATAAATCCTTGTTGTTAAATTGTTTACACTAATATTCTGCTGTTACTTTTACTGCCTATGTTCACTGTAGTAGCTCCTGACTACCTGTTTATTAATTTTTATTTCACATGAGCACATTTCACATGAAAATATTTCACATATATTTAATTTTCAGTTAATTATTCATTTGTTTGACTTATAAAATACAAACATTTTTATCACCTCTTGAATTTGAGAGTTTTCATCTTTGTTTGGTGACCCGGATGTGATAAAATTTAGTCTTGTCTTAACTGTGATCACAGTTCTGGATCTGAGTGCTAGAAAGGGGGAATCTTGACTTGTCTACCTACTGATGGTTCCCCGTTTGACATTTTGATGTTTAAAATCACGTTGGGGTCATCAAATTAAGATGAAACCTCTCAAATTCAAGAGGTAATAAAAATATGTGTATTTTGCTATAAGTCAGACAAATTAACAATTAACTGAAAAGTAAATATAATTTCTAAATTTCTAAATGTAGGCTAATTTAAATGTAACAGTCTAGCTCTACAGCATTTTTAACAAATCTAACTGTTTTCGGGTTGTTCTGAAACAAAGAAAGGGTGAAAAGTAGAAATATCGACAAAGCCAAACTAATAGTGAATGAAGATGAAAACTCTCAAATTCAAAGTGATGTCTAATGTATTTGATCCAGTAAGAAGTAGGGTGTCCAGGAAATCTAAGACATGTCAAGAAAGACCTACAGGCAGAAAAAATGAGGAACGGAGAGCTACAAAGGGAAAGTGTTTGTACTTTATTATATTCAAATATTCTTAAGGAAAGCCAAGTGGCTGATAAGGAGGTTTTTGAAAGGTTAAGAGATCAACTAGCTTATTCTGGGACTAATACCACAATGGTGTTTACAGTAGTTGCACAGCAGGGAGCCACAGCTCTACCTAACCCCTCACCCTCGGACATGAGGCGGGCCTACGACGCCCTAGGCATCCAATGTCCACCTACCACTGGACAGCTGATGGGAGGCGCAGGTGCTGCGCAGGTGCGGCCAAGACTGCCAGTACCCTCACAAGCAAACGTGCTATCCAACCAGCAACCAGGTAAGCAAAACTGCTACTTTTTTTATAGTTATTTGTCTCGCATTCTATCAAACTAAATAGGTAAATAGATTTAATTTTATATTTACAGTCCCAAAAAAATTTTACACATTATTGGATTTTTATGGAACAGTGAAACGAAGACGGCAAATTGATTTTTATGTCATTATTGCTATCTGCAAGAATGTACACTCAGGATTTAATCTCGTCCATTCCAAATTAATACTAGAGGTTAAAATTCCATTTAATCTGTCAGTGTGATCTCGTCACCGATGAGCGACAATCGGTTTCAACCCGGCAATGGTGTCATCCTCAGGTGATAAAAGAACATAATTCTCTACAAAGAGGTCGTTAAAGTCACATTTTACTACTGGATTTACTGGGCTAGATACTTACTAGTCCATACTGAAAAATTCCAAATTTCTAGGAAAGGTCAATTAAATTAACCAGTTTTTCAATTCAGGATTGATCTAAACCTACCGGTACCTTAATTTTTGTCTGTGTAGTAGAAGTGATACCGAAGAGCCTATGTAAAGTTTGTATTGGATTGTGACACAGGAGGCGTTGTGGGATCTCAGTCATCAGTGGTGGCTCCCAACGTATCATTGGACAACGCGGTCCCCACAGCCGCAGCCCAGACTGCTGCATCCATCCAGCAGAATGTGGCCAACATGCAGAACGCTCTGTTTGGCCTCAACAACCCTGATTCATCCAGTAATAATGTAAGTCTTCATTCACCATAACTAGTTGATAGGCCATTTTTTACAATGCTATTTTACTGTATTGATCAGCTTGTGGGCTTCACTCACCTTATTTATTAATCCAGGACTCTTCAAAATGTAATACACGAAGACACACAACACGCACATAAAAAATCGTCCTTGGATTTGTCCGACGTTTCGCGGAACCAAAACAACGTCCCGCTTCCTCAGGGAAATAAAACTTTATTTTTCTCGCGTACACGAGCTGAACGCCTAACCACGACTGCCGGTGCCGGATCAGCTGTTCCTGTGGAGGGTGGGAGGGCAGGGGGGTCGGTGGACATACTGGTTATCGTAGATAAGCCTTTGACATCCTTGGCATTGTCTCTCAGCTGTTCTAGTTCTTCTTTAATTACTTGTAAATTGTTGGTGAAATTAAAGTTAATGAAAGAAAGTTTGTTGTAAACTCTTTTATTATCTTACAAACAACACAACACAACACTAAATTATATTTAGTAAACAAGTGCATATGTAAATTATAAAAACTTATGATGGTCCATCACTAATCCAGACTAGATGAGTTGGGTTGTAATATTCAACATAAATAAACAGTACTATCCACCGATGGTCGTGATAGAGGCTCGTCTTCAATAGCCATAAATAGCGACTCTGCCATGTTCCGTTTCCTCCAATCCGGTTCTTTGTATAGAATTTTGCTGGAATCCCATTTTACTGTATGATTTGTCTCTAATGCATGTTCACAGATTCTCGAGCCATACCTATCTTTATTTTTAACCTTTTTAATGTGTTCATTAATCCTCACCGTCACTGGCCTTGACGTTTGCCCTACGTAGTTTCTACCACATGAACAAGGAATTTTATAGACAATATTTTTCGTGTTTTGCTGTTCATTTTCAGGTTTTAGTTTGGTGAGACATCTACGAAGTGTATCTTTACTTTTGAAAACTGTATGAATTTTGTATTTTGAATTTATGCGCCTTAATTTTTCAGAGACATTTTTAACATTAGTATACAAACAGTAGTTATGGGTTTTTCCTCAGTGGTGGGTTCCAATTCTCTGGAGTTATTTACTTTGTTTAGGGCCTTATTAAAAATAGATTGGGGATAGCCACAGTTCTTTAAATATAGATAGACGTTCTGGGCTGGGAAGGCGGCATGGATTTCCTTGGCTGTCATCTTCTTCTTCTCCTTCAAGCTTTTCAGCAAGGTTTCATGAGATGTCCTGGAGAACTGTACGATAAGCGGCTGCAAGTTCTTTTTTGAAGGATGGAACATGGTGTGCAATCGATATGTCACCTTCCTGGATGTTGATTCCCTAGAGCAGCTCCAACGTCTTTCACCAACTTAACCACATCTTCATTTGGAGTTTGAGGGATGCCACTTATTTCATTGTTGTTTTTTCTGGAATATTGTTCCAGTGAGCGGATTAAATTAAATGACCCTATTGTAGGATTAGACGCCTACCAACCAACATCTGAAGTGTGTTACTACATCTTTGTCATTTGTCCTCACTTATTCGTAACCTACAGCTTATTTCACTATTACATCTACTAATGGTTGTATCTGTCCCAGCAGCTAGGCACAGTAGACAATCAGCTAGCCAGCCTACAACTACCGGTGGGAGTGGGACTAGCCGGTTCCGGCCAGGTCACTGCAACTCCAGTCCCCGGAACTAAGGAGTGGCATCAGTCAGTCACAACTGATCTCAGAAACCACTTGGTCCACAAACTGTAAGTATCACTGTATTATATATACACAGTCAAATGAATAGAATGAATGATTGATTTATTACATAAAATCACTGCATGATGAGAATGGTTATTAGGTAGCCTATATGTATATGATCTGTTTTTTAAGTTAATTATTTAACAAACATTAAGTAACATGAGAATATACAAAGAAACAAATTTAAGGTAAATGTAAACTTAATGTTGAATGATAGAAGAACTAAAAACGTAAACAGAATATAATTATAATTTTCTTTGCTAGTTTAATTGTTAATTAGGTCTCTGGAATCAGTGGTATCAATAGACACAGACTTAACTCTGCCTCGTCTGCTGGGTTGCTATAATCTTTTTTTGGCCTTAATTGATTAACAGTGGTGTTGTTGAAAAAAGAGTTTCGATTTAATTTTTTGGAGATGAAAAGATGAATGTGGTTAGAATTAAAGTGAGTGATGGATGTGAAAGCGAAATATTTCTTCCAACTTCTAGCGGGCACAGGAAATCACATAACACAGCTACAGTATAATAAGCATTGCAAATTCAATGAATCTTTGAACAGCTGTCATTTTTACTCCACATTGTCTGTTTGAGTTCGGGTTTGTGTTTGTGGCATTGTGTATTACAGTGCAAGATTGTCAATTATCAATTATCAGTTATTTAATATGGGGACGCCACTATGTGCGTATTTAAACCCAAATATGAGTGAAGGATGAGTGGCGCCATCTTGTAGTCTTGTTAGTGACTAAGGCCGACATGTTCCTTAGACACAGCTGTTAATTAATAGCCCATACAGCTAATGGCAACTAAGGGACCTACAGTTTATTGTGGAATCCGAACCACATTTTTTCCTCGTAATTAACAAATTGGTCTAATTATTAGGATAGTACTGCGGATAGTCGTAGTACTCACTAGTGCGGACGTTAATCCATACCAGGGAGCATCGCATCCACAGTGCATCCCTATAATTATCCACAATTCGTGACCTCCTAGTAGCTGGATTACAGGACGACGCCACCCGTCCCAGTCATTTTGTTTATAGTCACTCTGTCAGTGCAAGCGGATAGCTTGACCTTGAAGCTAATGAAGATTGGCTTGCTTGAATGTATTTTGTATTAATTTGATTTTTTTCTAGTGTGCAAGCAATATTTCCAACACCAGATCCCAATGCCATGAGGGACAAACGTATGCACAACCTCGTAGCCTATGCAAGAAAAGTGGAGGGAGACATGTATGAAATGGCCAACTCAAGGGTAAGTTGGTTTCAGACATCCAAAAAATAAATTATTATTCATAACTATGTATATACCCTGAAAGTAGACTTTAAACTTTTCTTATTACGGTTGTCAAACATACAAATCTTGTGAGTTTTGGATAAAGTAAGCAACATCAAGGGTTGTTAAAACACTAAAAATGTTAAGCTAAATAATTTTGAGATTTTTTTCATGATAGTTAAATTATGCCAGCCACTCCATCAAATAACTCTCCATTGTGTATAGACATGCATAAGAGTATTGACTGGGTGTTTTTAAGTTTTTACAAATTTTTGTTGTTACACATATTGTTTATTTCAATGTTGTGGTGCAGATGCTTGAATTGGTCCCAAGCATGTATCATAGCGAGTCTTGTTCTGATACTATAGACTTTTATGGAAGATCATTCTTATCAATCTCTCAGCTCTGGTCGACTAGCTCTTAAATTTCTTTATTTCACTCAATTTTTCATTTACTTGTAAGGAGGCTATAATCAATCAATTGTAAATGTAATAAATGTAAACTTGAAATATAGAAATAGATTTTACAGGTGGGATGTTCCGACAGATTGTTATTGTGTTTAGTTAGTTTAGTGTATACATTATAAATTGATTGAAATGTGTTTATTCAGTACTTGTTCCTGTATTAATTGTACAGTACTTCTTTGTTGCCAATGATAAGAGGGGATTAAAATTTCCGAAGCCATTCATATCCATAATAAATAAAAGCCTCAATATATCTTTGCTCTATTTAGTGTTGCCTATGTTTTTTTAATTGCAAAGAATTTGGTTGTATAAGGTTGAAATATTTTTTCTAATTATTATTATTTTTTTTCAGTCCGAATATTACCATTTGTTGGCTGAAAAGATCTACAAAATTCAAAAGGAACTTGGTAAGTCTGAGCTTAAATATAATAATAAGTAAAATTACTTCTCGGTTGATTAGCTGTTTAAAACATTTATACTACCATTAAATAAAACACGCCTTTGGTTTTCATTCAAATAGTAGTTTAATTTCTTCAAACTTGATACACTTAAGGCCTGTTCACACCGGCGTAGCCAGACGTCTGCAGACGTATTCTGTGTATTAATACGTCGCCAGTGCACTGTTCACACCGCAGCTACGTCTGACGGCTACGTAGCCGGCAGTTGTTTGTTTATTTTACTATATTATTTTATATTCGTTGATATTTGCTAATTTATTGTTTATTTTTATTACTGTTTCATGAATTTCAGTGAAGATTGCTACGGTTTACTTGCAGCTTTTATAGTACCCTGAAAAGTCGGTTGATTTATGTGTTAATGTTGACAAAAATATTTCACTGTAATTTTTGGCCGTATATAGTAGACTATAACATTTGCGCTATATTATAATATACAAAAAAGTATTACTGGAGAACATGCAATAATTTTGCTCATCCATATGGATTGCATAATAAAATAGTATGTTGTGTAAGTAAGACGTAGGCCTATGTCTAGACATAATTCATTATAATGTTTCATAAATGTCAACCCACTATATGAGCAATAGTGAATAATATACCATATTAAGATAGTCATTGTTTTTATAAGGAGATTTGCAAGCATAAACAAAAAACAAAATTGTGGACATTAGGTACTCGTATAATGAAGTATTATATTGATCATATACAGTTGTCATATTGTTATGTTATACTGTAGAATGGTTATAGTCGAATTTGAATGTGATAGATTAATGCGATTTAATGATTTTTTAAAGTAATAATGAATTTTTGTGTTATAGTCCAACATTTACCACTAATAAATTAATTATAAGGTGGAGGGAGGGTGGCGGTGACAGCCCGGTATGCTAGTGCGCATGCGCGTATTCGGCTATGCGAGCTACGCGTAGCTAGCCGGCGTAGCGGCAGCGCCGTAGCTTCCGTAGCTCACGTATTAATACGCCGGTGTGAACACTCTCTATGAATTACATTAAGAGCTACGTCAGCTACGTATTTCAAAAAAGTATTAATACGTCTGGCTACGCCGGTGTGAACAGTCCTTTACACTTGATAGCTACTATACAACTGTATAGAAGGAAAACATTTCTCTACGGTATCTAAGGGAATTAACTACCTTAAAACTTAAAATGTAAAATAATTGAACCAATTTCACAGATTTCATTTTGACAATGTCACCAGCTATTGGTGTGGTAGTGATTGTCAAATCCAGGAATTTTGAATCTCGAATCTGAATCCGAAAAAATGAAATCTCGAGTCCCAAAAATAATTGCAAATTTTTTATATGGTGATTAATAAACAAGAATTGAGTAGGAAGAAAGCATTTAAGAATTAAATAATTACCATAAATGACTGTTCTTTGCAATGAAAAGTTACGTAATTACTTTTGATACGGGGAAAAAATAACCGTCGACTAATCAGTTACATCTTTTAAAACCAATTAACCTAGATCGAATGGTCGGTATACTTTATTTGGATGGCAAAATTCATAATTGGATTATTTAAATGGTAGATGTAAGGTACACTCACTTGTTATTTTTAAATTCTTTGATCAATTGTATACTCGGTTAATAACATTTTAAATAGCATTATTTATGGTATTTGTAAGGTACTTGTTATTTTTAAATTTGTTAATCAATAGTTTACACAGTTAATACAATTTTAAATATAAACATCAATCCACACACGAGCGTCGATTGGGAATCGTATTGCGTCATCACATAAATTGTGGTGTCGTCTGTCTATGTTTACAGTACAGTTATATCCGCCATTGCTACACGAACGCAGACAAATTTATTGCCGTCAAGGTTAAAGTCAATACCGGCAATGTTAGCAATAGTTTCTCGCACTGATGACTGATCTAGAGCTACAACCGAACGTAGCTGAATGAAAGAATTGAGAGACGTTGGTAGCCATATGTACTAGGGTTAATAGTACTGAACAAGGGGATTGTAATAAAGCCAAGAGCCAATGAGCTGGTTGATTCTTCTAGGTACCAACATAACAATATTTTACAGCGGCTCGATTTTCTAGCAGAGTTGCCGTGCCAGTGCTACCTACAGTTGTATAATTTCTAGCTCAGTCGAAACTCGCTATGATAAAAGCGCTTGGATGTTTTCAGTCTAAGACTATTACGTTTCGTAAAAAGCAAGAGCGGTTCCCTGATTAGAACAGCATAACATTGACCTTGGCAACTTCCGTCTTAAAAATATGAGACATTTTACTGCCCAGCCCATCGTCACTATTTGGTATTCCCAACTTTTTACCTGCAAACGTTGTCCATGTTTTTATGGATATGTTTTTTAGCAAATTTCTCTATAGGGAAGTAGCTATTACCGTAGGTCTCATGGTAAGACCTAGGCCCGAAACCGATTTACTTTTTCATTTTGACGTCCCCAGAGGCAAAAAAAAAAACCATCCGTTCGAATTTTTATATATGCATGTATTTACTATCTATATATAGAGATAATAATAATAATAATAATAATATGTGTCCGTCCAGATGATAACTTAACAATTTTTGTCCGATTTTGATAAAAAATGGTTTGAAGGTGTAAAGTGGGATAAACTTGAATGAGTTCACGAACCAGCATGATTGGACCATGAGAACGGGGTTTAACGGGGTAAAAACAGGGTTTTCTCACTTTTTCCCTTAAAACACAATATTTATCAATTTTTCTCCATGTTGTCTATGTTTTTATGGATATGTTTTTTAGCAAATTTCTCTATAGGGAAGTAGCTATTACCGTAGGTCTCATGGTAAGACCTAGGTCCGTGACCGATTTACTTTTTTATTTTGATGTCCCCAGAGGAAAAAAAAAACCATCCGTTCGAATTTTTATATATGCATGTATTTACTATCTATATATAGAGATAATAATATATATGTGTCCGTCCAGATGATAACTTAACAATTTTTGTCCGATTTTGATAAAAAATGGTTTGAAGGTGTAAAGTGGGATAAACTTGAATGAGTTCACGAACCAGCATGATTGGACCATGAGAACGGGGTAAAAACGGGGTTTTCTCACTTTTTCCCTTAAAACACAATATTTATCAATTTTTCTCCATGTTGTCTATGTTTTTATGGATATGTTTTTTAGCAAATTTCTCTATAGGGAAGTAGCTATTACCGTAGGTCTCATGGTAAGACCTAGGTCCGTGACCGATTTACTTTTTCATTTTGATGTCCCCAGAGGCCAAAAACACCATTCGTTCAAATTTTTATATATGCATATATATATGTTTATTATCTATATATAGAGATACTAGCTGTAACCCGCGGGCTTTGCCCCGTTTAACTTCTTAATTTTCAAGATTATCTCGTTCGCATGGCTCAATCACGTCCTGGTTGAAGTTTGTTCGCTACGCTCACTCACCTTTAGGTTGGAGCTCGTTCGCTACGCTCACTCACCTTTAGGTTGGAGCTCGTTCGCTACGCTCACTCACCTTTAGGTTGGAGCTCGTTCGCTGCGCTCACTTGCCTTCAGGTTAGCTCGTTCGCTACGCTAACTCGCCTCCAGGTTGAAGTTCGTTCGCTACGCTCACTCACCTTTTGGTTGCAAATTAGCTGTTGTCATAAATGTAAAAGAAATAGTGCTGCACCCTGTTGGTAATTTTTGTAACTTAAATGCTATTGAACATCACAGAACAGAACCAACTTGTTTAATTGAAACAGCTGTTAAGATTCAATAATTTCATTTCTCATAAGGTTAACATGGGAAACTCCAGAGCCACTGGGGCGGAGCCCGAAAGGATTTTTGAAATAAGAATATGCCTATATGTTAATCGGGAATGTGAGCTATCATCATGCCAAATTTCAGCCCAATCCGACCAGTATTTCTCGCGTTCACTTGTCACAAACATACATCCATACATCCATACATCCATCCATACATCCATACATCCAAACTTTCTCATTTATAATATTAGTAGGATATATATGTGTTCGTCCAGATGATAACTTGAGTAATTTTTGTCCGATTTTGATAAAATATGGTTTGAAGGTGTAAGGCGGGATAAACTTGAATGAGTTCACGAACCAGCATGATCGGACCATGGGAACGGGGTTTAACGGGGTAAAAATGGGTTTTTTTAATTTTTTCCCCTTAAAACACAATATTTATCAATTTTTCTCTATACCTTTTTAAAGAACTAAAAAAAAAATAATTTTGTATATCAAAGTGTTTTTGTATGAGTAGTGATTGGTTATGGAGAATATTGTAAAATGTTGTTGGCTTGTTTATGGATATATTTTGATCAAACTTGGCGGATTTATTTATTTCATACTAAGCTATATTTTAATAAAAAAACACACTTTATTAGTTCCCCTGGAGTAGCTAACCTAGTATCTGTTAAACATAAATACTAATTTAATAGATTAATTGAAAATCATTCCAGACAAATGGAAATTCGCTTAGTCGGCAGATTTGCTGCAGCGGGGCTATTTTTATCAATTTTTATTAGGCTATATTAAATTATTATTTTGATTTAAATGTGTTTTTTTTTTTTTTTTATCGCCTGGAATCGGTATTGAAAATCGTGAGTAATATAACAAAATCAGTGTCGAGAAATTCTAGTATTAGCCCATCCTTATATAAAATACAATCAATATTCGACTAGGACGTAATTCAAGCCATGGCCTTGAGTTTTGAGACTTAAGTTTGGCTTTCTTCCGTAGCTAATGCGTAGACAGACACTGCTACACGTTATTATAGAGCTGGCGGCAAGTCAGAGCCGTTCAGGCCTATTCTGTCGGCGTGCCCGAGATTCTAATCTTGTTTATCAAATCTCAAATTTGAATTTTTTTTTGGATTAAGTGGGTTCAAGATTCGTATTCGACACATCACTACCAGGTACCAAGTGTTTCTTTTGCTAGCGCAACAAACATGTGATAGTTAACACTACATTTTTACTGTTTCACAGAGGAGAAAAGACAAAAGAGGAAAGAACAGCAAATGCAGCAGGCTGCAGCGCAGGTACAGAGCCAGCCAGCGCAGCAGCAGCAACAGCAGGTGGCAACACAACCTCAGATGAGGCCAGGTGCAGGATGTGTCCCTACACGACCAGTCACTTCACAACACTTACCCTCTCACTCTCCAGGTAAACTCACAACAATCCAATAAATGTGTCTCTATCCTACAGTGATTTGGTCAACTATTTCCAGTTGAAACAAACTGGGATTGTTGCTAACACCCTGACTCTCATAAAAGGTGTTTATTTTATCCTAATATCAACTGTGAGAAAGATATAGATTGCAAAAGTAGTCTACCCCCGGATATGGCCCAAAACACGACAGGTAAATCACCTGAATATGTATGCTTTCCCGCCAGCTGACGTAACCTCACTTGTATACGTAGGAGCTGTCGTCTGCCAGCTGTTCCCGCCAACATATGTAGATATTTCTATTAAACTATGGATAAAAAGTGTGCCTTGACTGGCAATTGAACCCTGGCCTCTTAGGTGACGGATTATTGTCTTAGCCATTGAGCTACGACGTCAGTTACAGGTACAGTGTTTATAGTGGTAAATGACAACTTCAATTTACAGGTTTAATAATTAATTTAATATAAATAACTACGTATACAGGGCGTCACATGATCAGCTGGCAACTCCTACGTATACAAGTGAGGTTACGTCAGCTGGCGGGAACGGCAGGCTGGAAATCATACATATATAGGTATATAGGTGATTGACCTATCACGTGTTTTGGGCCATATCCGGGGGTAGACTACTTGCAAATGATGCATCAAACAATGTCAAATAAAAAAACCTTCAGTTTGTAAGGAGTCTAATCCCACCAGTGAAGTTTGACATAAAGAATACTTGTAGCAACGGTTATTTATTTAGTTTTCAACTGTTGCAGTGGGTGGAGGTATGTTGAGTGGACACCTGAGTGGACCCCGAATGCCATTTAACAACACACAGCCCACCTCACAGACTGGTCCTTCCACCCCTGGTATGGTAGTGGGCCCTCCAGGTCCTAGCCCCACCCCCTCTCAGGCTCCCACCCCTGTCTCTTCTACTAGTCAATTCTCCACCACCAACCATCAGGTAAGCAGAAGGTCCTTGAGAATTGGGGTTTTAATCAATTATACTGTCAGCTTAAAATTAAATATAACATCTGGTCATGGTAATAGAGCTCCATAGACAATCTCACTCCATTTTACTTCTGCATTAATATAACTTTTTAAAATACATACTGAATAATTGATTGATATCACTGACCTGCTTGCTATTACATTTTTGAAATTCAAAATAGATTTGGAAAATATTTGTTGATCAAGCTACTTTAACTGCTGTGATTAAAAAATAAACATAAAACTAGGTTGCTGAGTTGTAAAGCCCTTCCAATCTACAAGTGAATCAGAGAAAGAAAACTTTGCTTTATAGGAGCTTTTAGTTCTAAATAAAGAACATTGTCTATTTTATAATATATGATGATCAGTTTCAGCAGCAGGCGAGGCTCAGCGCACCGCAGACTTCCCCGGCATTCCCTCTACCTCCGTTCTCATCACCCAACAACACGTCAGCCAGTAGTGGAGGAGTGATGGTTTCACAACCCTCGTGTGTCACTCCTCCCCCCACTTCCTCACCCTTACCTCCCACCTCAGGACCTCCCACAATCCCTTCCCCGTCACTCAGTCCCGCCAACACCACCACCACGTCACAGTTTGCTAGAACAACTTCCACCACAAGCTCCAGTTCATATACAAGTCAGATGGCTGCAATCACTGCTGCACTCACACGGGTACGTATTTTGCGTTGTTAGATTAGTGATGGGTCGATTCCAAACCCGTTTCCGATTCCAGAACTTTGGTTTCGATTCTCGATTCTGCACTCGATACCGATACCTGTTATAAATTCATTTAACTTGTTCGCTGCGCCCACCATTGGCTTAAGCCACCAGGCGTATCCCTAGTGCGACGCAGAGTCGAGTGAACTTGTTAAGCTTTAAAATATTTCAGTCTGACGAATAACAAATGACGTGCGGTGATGTGCTGTGTTACGACAAGAGTCAACGTTGTTTGCTGAAACACTCACAGATAGCAGCACTGTCTGGAACTATCCGGTCACATTGTATTGCCAATTGCATCATGAGTTTGCGAATCAGCGTGATCAGACCATGGGAATGGGGTTTCTTAGGGGGCTTTATGGGGTAAAAATTGTTTTTTCTCATTTTAGGCACTTAAAACACAATGTTTCCCAGTTTCTCTCTAGACCTTTTGAGCTTAAAAAAACAAATAATATAGTATATCAAAGTGTTTTTGTACGGTTATTGGTAACGGAGAACATAAAAAAAAAACTCAAAACGGTGATCATAACCCATTTTTGAACAATTCATTAGCACAGCAATCAACTTCAAAGCAATTTGCCATTCCCAATACAAACAAACTCACGGCAGCTGTTTCAGTTTAGAGAAAAAACAACAAATAATGATAAAATTACATCGCTAAACAGCCATCACTACTATTTTTAGTGTTATGAAACCATGTTAGGTTCTTCCCACCATTCAGATTTTTTATTTTTAATGAAGTTCACTGCGTATTGTTGAAAAGTAGACATAAAAACTAACTAAATTTGACGGGCCGGTCCCGCTCAGGGTCTTTATGTCTGTTGCCCAGTATCACTGACCACACTGGTTGCAGGAACAACCAACGTGAGATTTATCCAAGTTGATCTGCAAAAGACCGTGCGTGACCAACTCAGCTGTCCATCCACCCAACCGATTACGTCCACCTAAAAATAGACAATCTATTTTTTTAAATGTTGGGATATTTTAAATTATAATTATTTCTTGTTATACTCATTTATGGTTTTTCTCAGGATGAAGATTCACCCCCGAGTTCAAACCAAAATAAGGGAAAACTGAATCAAGTTGGCTCCAAAGGTGAGAGGGACGAAGGGGATGATGAGGGTGAATCTCGTCACGGTGGCGAGGGAGGAGGCAAGGGCATGCCTAACTTTGACTGTGGAGGGAAACAGATCAAACAAGAAATCAAGACTGAGCCAATGGACCACGACACAATCAAAGGTAAGTACTGTCAATCTAACAGTAGATGCCAGTTAGTAGGGAAAGGTCTGCCATGAAATAGCAGTATAACCATTGATTATTTTGGGTGAGTTGGTAGCTCAACTGGTAACTAATTGCACTGTGGAACTATGTCAACCATGTCTAGGGTTTGCACCCTGGTGTTGTTACCTCAAATTTATTAGCATAGTTTATTCTTGTTCTGTACCGTCTAAGCCCTCCTTTTAATAGATGAATTTAACATGATTCGTCCATGTGAACGGGTAAATTCAAAGTTAAAAGACCTCTTACCTCTTGAAAAAATGTCTTTCTTATTTGTCATTTGATATGCAGGTTGTCCTGGGCTATTGAAGTAATTCGTGATTAAATTTGACAAGAAGAGAAAAACCTTTGAATATATAATTACTAAATTATTTGAGTTAGTATTTATTACTTGGACAGGTTTTTCAGGGGAGTAAAAATTATTTGAAATATTTATTTCTTTAAATTGAGACTTGACTATATCATAATATAGAAGAGATTTCAGTAGTTAGCATGCTTCACTACAATCATGTTTTAAAGTAGATGAATTAAACTTGCAGCTCTATGCCTCTCATTCACTAGAGTGCTAATTTTAATTAACATTACAGAAGAAGTTTCAATCAAAGAGGAGCCTAGATCTCCTAAAACAGAAGCAGATATCAAACCACCAGTTCCCATCGAGCCTATAGTGCAAGGAAGTGACAAAAAGAAAAAGTGCCGTAAGTAGTATTACATTTTACTGTGTTATTTAAATATGTGTGTGTCTCATTAATTTATGTGGTAATTTAAGGAATTATTAGCAATAGTGGCTCTAGTAAAACCATAGACTAACCAACACAAGTAGACTTCTCATCCCATTGTAAATTTTGAAGCACGTTTTTCGTGTCTAGTTCATGTACGTGACACATGGGCGCTAGTGTCGACGTAACTTTGTTTCTATTATTTTAGGGTTAATTTCTTGATTTGTGCTTTACTGTTTGGTTATATAACTAGGGGACAAGTTATTGTTTATGATTAGATCGTATAATTTGGTTAAACGAGGTTTTAAATGGTTGTAATAACGGGAAACAAATTGTAAACAAAACACGACCTCTACATAAACCGTACAGAACTAACAATAAAATTGTCTTCAGCTGTTCCATAAGGATGAGAAATCTACTAAGGGAGTATGTTTTATCTATGGTAAAACTCAGCTGTGGAAAAGCCTCTAACAAACTTTAGAACAAAGGTTTACGACAGATCTGAAATGTATAAGCAGTGATTGTGACAATTATTACATTGGACAAACCTAAAGACATTCCAAAACTCAATGACAGTTTATTCAATTGTGTGTATAAAAAAATTATCTTACTATTAAATAAAACTTTGCAAAGCATTACCTAATTACTAATCTTGAAGTAAATTCAACCATTTTGCAAACAGAAAAATGTATGGGTGGGCGAGTAGTGATATTTCAATTTGAGTAAAAACTTGAGTGTCGAGTCGAGTCGAGTAGTTGTGCTTAAAGTAGGCCTATGCCTAAATAGGTAGTTTAAGTATTCACCAAATCTTTTAAGTTATATGATTACAAATCTTCTAGGCCTATATATATAATACGCTAAGCCGATTTTGGTAAACAGAACTCCTCCCTCATTTTTGGACCGATTTTAATGATAAAAGTGTAAAAAAAATGGCCCTGGTCTGTAGTTTTGCAAAGTGTTTTTATTTTTTTTTAATCTTTATTAGTTTGGGCAGGATCTTCCTTCAAAGTTGGGTTTTCTCCCATATAATTAACATGGGGGAATCTAAATAGTTATTCGGAAACTTTGTCTCCACTAATTTGAGAGAATGGCTGGGCTTAGAAATTTGGTAGAGGTGCCCAAAGAAATGTCTTGGTCTGTATATGAGTTATCAAAAGAAAAACGAAGTAAATTCCCTTAGGGCTCTGTCCCAGAAGCCTTTATAGATCCCTCCACAGATTTGTTTACATTTTGGTCATGTGGATAATACTTCTTAATGAAACAGCTGTTAATTTTTTAGTTGTATTTTAAACAACACACATTAATTGGGAGTTACTGAATTGTCCAAAAGAAGTATTTGCAATGTTATTTTCTGATTTTAAAATTAATTTTCTTCTGTATCATGTCATGTGCTGCAATAATACAATACAAAATAATACAAGTGCAGAAGTGTCTTATTAGCTTTAACATTAACCCCACAACCAATTTCTCAAAACTATGCTAGAGGGTTACTCATTGGCACAGAAGTACGATATGAACTGACACGACGTGACGAAGGAAAAATCAAACTTGCACTGTAACGGATTGACCTCCCTTTGAAGTTAGAACATGTCTTCTCATAAACAGATATTTTTTCTAAATAAAATCATAGATTAATCTTTATTACACTAATGAAATTGCGGAAGTTTTTAACTACAAAAGATCCACCAATACTATTTTAATGCCATCTAAAGGTTCTTCCAAAAGAAGAGATACCAGTTAACATATTAATAATAACTCCTATGACGTACGGTATGGGAAATATTTTATTCATTAAATTATCATATTTGGTAACTAACGCTAATATCATTATTGTTTTTACACTTATTACTCTTTAAACAAAACTAATTGCTCAAATATGTATAATATCACTCAATTTATCGCAGTTAGATGAATTAGCGTAAGCCTTGAAAGTAACCGTCGATTTCGACGGGTTTCACCTAGTTATTAGTATTAGGCCTAATAAAAAATTGGCCTAGCCTACTTGTTGGCTGCAGCATTAAACCTACACTTGTTTTTTTTTGTGAAGGAAGTAGTAAATGCAAGAAGTTTGGAGTGTAAAAAATTTTGTTGTGGCTGTTGGATAATATTGTAAAACAAAAAACATTGTTTATCGACTGGTAATCAAGTAAAATAAATATTATATTTTTGTTTTTGGTATACATTTTTATTATATATCCTAAAGAACAAATTACCATTTAAAATAATAGTTGTTAGCGCAGCAACACGCGCCGGGTAATTGCTATTATATATATATATATATATATATATATATATATATATATATATATATATAGTAGCCCTATTAATCTATTGTTGATGTTTAACTCAGGTACGAGTTTTAGAACCAAACATGTTATGTTGCAGTGTTCAAACCTGATGAGCTTAGACAGGCTCTGATGCCTACGCTGGAGAAGCTGTACCGTCAGGACCCAGAGTCTTTGCCGTTCCGTCAGCCTGTAGACCCACAGTCTCTCGGCATCCCAGAGTACTTTGAGATTGTCAAGCGGCCAATGGACCTGAGCACTATTAAGCGTAAGCTGGACACAGGCCAATACTCAGACCCGTGGGAGTACGTGGATGATGTCTGGCTCATGTTCGACAACGCCTGGCTCTACAATAGGAAGAGCTCCCGCGTCTATAGATATTGTACAAAGGTGTGTGCCTGACTATGATGTAAGTTGAGTCGCAAGGGTTGCTTAAAACCAATTTTTATATCAAATAACATTTTAGATGGTCTAATTTAATTTTTGAGTTTATAAGCCTTACTTACATTTAAGTAGTTGTAAACTTAACATGTTGTCATTAGATATAAAAAATCAGACACAAATCGAACACAGATAGAAAAAATTAGAAACCTCTTTTTTAAATACTTTAAACCTGAAATTGCCCCTCTTATTGAAGCTGGCTTATTTACATTAAGGGATTTCAGCATACTCTGATGGTTTTATAGTTGAAATGGTCTAATCAATCGTAAAATTTACTCATTGAAAAACTTGGCAAATTGGTTTAAACCTGTAACTTATGTCTTAGCTCTCCAAATATATATCCTCCTAACTTTTGATTACTTTGTTTATAGTTATCCGAAGTGTTTGAAGTGGAGATAGACCCTGTGATGCAAGCTTTAGGCTACTGTTGTGGCCGAAAATATACGTTCAACCCTCAAGTTTTATGCTGTTACGGCAAACAGCTGTGTACCATCCCAAGAGATGCCAAATACTACAGCTATCAGAACAGGTTAGTGTTGCATGAATCATGTTTATAAAAGGACAGGGTTCAGATACAGTAGAGCCTACCTTGGAAAATTTAGTCTAGGAGCTAATGAACACTAAAAAAAGGTTATGAAATATTACTGTCATATTTTGACCTAATTTAGGACTTCTTTAGGAGGTACTGTAGATTATCCTTTTATCGACTCTGTTAAGCTTCTTGATTTTTTTTAAATTTTTTTTCTCTTGAATTTTGAACAAAAGGGGATAGAGAACTCAGTGTGTGTTTGGTGAACTTAGTCACTTTTGGAAACTTAAAAGATAACTAAAATATAAAATACGGCATTTTAGTACAATTTCCTACAGTCTCATAGCTAATACTTAAAACATTTATTATTTTTTAGTTTCATTTTATAATGTGTTAGCAGTTTCCAACTGACTTAATAGTATGTTGAAAATATTGTTGTAACTTGTCATTGATAGCAAAAAAAATAGTGTGTCTAGTTAGTAAGATTCTCACTTGCATTTCAACCAAAGTTGTCATAATCACACACCTGTTAACCTTGCTTGGCAGTGTTAGAGTGTGACGAATGATTGGTCAAGTTTATGCATGTGTGATTTTATTGGTCAGCTCTTCATCCCTCAAAACGTAATCTTATGGTAAACCTCAAGTAAAGGTGTTTCAAAAAGTACTACAACTTTGTCTTTTTATTGGCTTTATTTGTTTCACTAAAAGTTTTGGTTTGGACATCATCATATACCTTAATTAATACATCCGGTTTATTTTCATTTTTGCTGATTAGGTTTAATTGAGATTTCTTAGAAAATGTGTTCTTTTTTCATGTGCCTTGGGTAAAATATTTATGGGCCACATTCCTTAGAGTTAAGGCTGCTAAATTTGATTTTGATCTTGGGAATTTGTCAAAAAATAAATTGTGTTCCTTTCCAACATTTATTTTAGGGATCAACAATCGTAGTTACCCTCTCCACCACTCAATTTTCATTAAATAAATATTAATTTTGACAAAATGAATAATTAAACAAAGATTTATACCTTATCACCTGTTATTAAACAATGCCTGTCATGAAATAGTTGACTTGTTCTTCAAGCTAACAAAGTTGTTGGGTACGGTACTTTATCAAACATCCTGTAAATTGTTTTTTAACCCTAGAACTGCCTTCCGCCGATAACATGTGTGTGCCAATGTCCAACCGCTGTTAAAGGCGGTATGGATTTTTTTTTCTTAACACTTATTACACAATGAAAATGATCCAGAAGCGTAATAATTTTAATACCGTTGAAAAGAGGAGATTCTAAACTTTAATTTTCATATATAAACAAACTTCGTAGTCTGTAACAGATCAATATAACTGCTATTATAATTTGAACGAAATTTAGCGTGCGAAAAATTCTCGAGTCGCGATCGACAAAATCTTGTAAAACATGTTTTCTTGTAATAAATTTGTGAAATCTTTATTTTGGCCCAAACAGAAAGCGGTTTGTAACATTGGAATGAACATGAGTTTTACTTTATTTTCATAAAGAAAACTTTGTAATACGGTGTTAGGAAGTCTGAAAAACTAATTTTTGAAATCAGCTGTTTTATCAACTGGCCAACTCTAACTTTGAATGACTAATTTTTGTTTTCTGCAAAACCAAAATTTTGTTTTTTAATCACATAAAGTCATAAAAAAGTTATTATATTGTACAATATGACATTATTCTGAATAAATGAGAAATATAACAATTTAAGTATATAAGTGCTATACTTCTGATTTTACTTTTATTTTTCAAATCTACAGCGCAATTTTGTTGATTTTCCCCAATTTCTGTACTTAAAAAAAAATCTTATGCAAATCAATCACATTTCCACGTAGGGAAATAAATTGCCTACATTTTGTATATCTTAGATTGTCCGTAAAAAAAATTGTTGTAAAAATGCTAGGTCTCTACTTTTAAAAATAATTTTAAAAAATAGGAAAACAAGGAATTCCTCTTATTTTATGTTATTCTAAATTTCCTTCTTTTTCTTAAAAAAACAAGTATAAATATGACTAGGTTATCAACAGTAGTTAAGGCTAGCGAATTGTCAAAAACAACTCTGCAAAATGGTCAAAATTGCAATGGCACCAAGCAGTTTGGCATAAATCAGGTCAGGGCAGTCCTAGGGTTAATGTAGAGTATGGTATAGCCTACCTTTATTAGGTAGATGACAAAATCTAAGTTTAATCCGTGTTTCAATCTTTCTTTGACATTAAAATTATAATAATTACAATTTCTTCCATTCATTCATTTGTATTGAATGCCCAACTTTTCATTGTTGATGTAAGAGCTGACCTGTTTGTCTGACTGCACCATGTTCTGCACCTCGCACTACCCCAATTGCTTACATATTTTTCTGTTTCTTGCTTGGTTGGTACTAAAGAAGCTACGGTGTTGTGTCGGATAGATACACTTTCTGCCAGAAGTGCTTCAACGACATACCCGGAGACACTGTCACCTTGGGAGACGATCCCACCCAGCCACAGACGTAAGTATTGCCGACCAGAATAACACAGAAAGTAGGGCAAAAAATTAACTGTTTTTATTTGTAAGCATTATAACTTACTAGCTGTTACCCATGGGCTTCAGCCCGTTTGACTTCATCAAACTATTGATTGGTTAAGTTAAGCTGAAATAAACAAGACAGAATAAAGTAATACAAACAAATAAGTACAGCTGAAGTATTTTTAACATTAGGTAAATGGAAAGTTCCCTTCTGAAAGGAATTACGACCTTAACACATTCACTGCTAATGATATGTAATACTTTTATAAATGGCTAAAAAACATAAACATTAACATGATCATGTTAATTGAGTGACAATATATCTTTAATTAAAAAAATTGTATACTATAAATTGTGGATTAAAATATATTATGTAATTATATACATCATGTATTATATATCTGCTAATATACTTATGACGCACAAGTGCGTCATTAGCAGTGAACGTGTTAAAGGGTAATTTATGAAATAATGGATGGTTTTGCGCAAGGTTTCTTGTCATTATGAGCATTTTAAGTACCTATATGGTTTATTGGGGTGTGACTTGTAGTTTTTTCAAAAGTTCATGGGTACCGTACTTTGGGATTTATATATGGATTTTTTAACTAACCTCTTGCTGTATTATGCTACAGATCTGTAATACAATATGGTATTGTTCCATGGGTCTCTATCACACAATTCAATGTTATTTATTTTGACCCTTGGTTGGAATATATTTTTGATAAAATAAAGGATTTCCTTATCATTAGGCAACCACAGTTCCAACTGTGGTTAGGTTAGATAAGGTAATCCTTTTATTTTATCAACAATAATTCAATGTCAATATTTATAGAATACAATAAATATTTTACAATTATTCCGTGTCTTTTTGCTCAAAACAGAACACTTTGCAAACCTCCTGAAAAATATGCTTTACTGAAAATATCCAGTTTTTACATATTTTAAACTTCAAGTATTGAAAAAACTTTGTTAGAAAAATCATCAAATAGCTTTTAGTCTTAACTATCTCTCCTTCTTCATTTAAAAATAATACTTCTAACATAGCTTCTATTTGTTTGAAAAGTTACCATACTGTACGAATATTAAACTTAACTAGGATCAAATAAATTCAATTTAAAAAATTCAAGGTATTATCTTTTGCCTAAAGTGAATTATTAAATAAATATACATTCAAGTGATAATAATGCTTTGTAATGCTCTACTGTTTCTTTGTGTATTTCTCACGTTATATTTATTTACTTTCAATTATACATCAATCTGTCATCCCAACTTTGCTGGAACACTAAAAATTAGGAATGGACGAGATATGGATTTTTAGTTTGAGACGAGACGGGATTTTTTATTTCTCATAAAATTTTGAGACAAGATCGAGACGGGATTTCCCTTCTCTTACATGACAGGAAATGCACGTTCCACATTTTAACCTGATTTTGAAAAACATTTTTAAAATACCTACTGATTCATAACAGACTGGTTAAATACAAAATTAATAATAATAGACAAAAATATTTAAAATATTTTATTAAAAAACATTAATAAAAACACCAGTATGAAAAAAAAATTAATACGGCCTAACTGATTAAAAATAACTCTTCGGCATAGAAAACATGGAGATATCAGTTAATATATAGTTCAACTTTGAAAAATAAGTCTAAAACAACAGTATTACTAGTTTAGTACCAATAAATAAATATAGGATGGAGAGGACACAGCTAACTCACCTGATGAAAGGTTGCAGATGAGTCAAAGAACACATAAAATCACACACATAATTTACTTAATATTTCGCCTCTTTCAGAGGCTTCTTCAGAAGTAGGCCTAGATGGTAGTTACAAAACAACCAAAGGGCTACTACCATCTAGGCCTACTTCTGAAGAAGCCTCTGAAAGAGGCGAAATATTAAGTAAATTATGTGTGTGATTTTATGTGTTCTTTGACTCATCTGCAACCTTTCATCAGGTGAGTTAGCTGTGTCCTCTCCATCCTATATTTATTTATTTAATCCAAGCTAAATGCTTTTTCCTAAAAACATAGTTTAGTACCAAGTAACAATTTTTAAGTCTTGTGTTATTTTAAGAATGGTTTTGGAGTGACTTATTTTGGCTATGTCTCACACTGCCTACACTAACAAAACTTCTCATCATTTGCTATGTCAAAAAAATCCTATAACGATTGAAGCAATATTTCCATGTAAAGAATTAATAATTAAATAAAAACGCCTTCGCAAAGGATACGGAAAATCAACACGCTCCTGTATTGCATTGACTTTCAGCAGGTGTTTTTTTTTCTTTAAAATTTTTAAACTAAAATTTGTTTATACAATTTTTATTTAATATATTTTAATATTTTTACAGTTTTTGTCAAAAATATAGTTAATCACATGGGTTAAAATCTTTTGTTCAAACCTTGTTCATTTTCCAACTTCTATATTACTTTTGTCGTTAAAACTATGCTAAAAAGAGTAATTTTAGGTCCTAGTGATTATTTTGTCTGACAATTTGTTGTTATAGTGTAATCAAAAAGGACCAGTTTAAAGAGATGAAGAACGATCACTTGGAGCTGGAGCCGTTTGTGGAGTGTTCGGACTGTGGCCGCAAAGTGCATCAGATCTGCTGTTTACACATGGAGGCTATCTGGCCACAAGGGTAAGCTGTAATCAGTTAGTTTTGGTACTGTAATACAGTAATAATAAACCTAAGTGATGGTCAAAACCAGGAATTTTAAATCATGGATCCAAAACTAAAAAAATTGAACCCTGATTCTAAAACCTAAATGTGTTTTTACTTGCCTGGTTAATATTCCAAAAATATACAGGTAGGCCTGTTTTTTAATAACATTTTTATAACATAATCAATACTGAAAGAAATTGGACTCCTGACTCTGACATAATAACATGAATATGTGACTCTCTTTTAACTTCTTATGAATAAATAAAACATTTCAAAATTGCTTAAAAAAGGTGTTGAGAATACCATAATGCAAATTTCAATTCAGCTAAGTTATACAATTTTTGAGGAATAAAATACAAGTTGTAATAAATAAGTTTTCTTGTTATGACATTGATGGCTATTTCGCTATTTATTGGGTACCTAATAATAATGACTTAAAATGTCAGCAGTTTCAGTAAGTTTTTGTGGTTCTTAAATCTGAGACATATTTTTAACACATCTATATAATAATACCCCTGCCGCAGCAAACCTGCAGACTAAGCAAATTTCCATTTGCCTAATTGGATTTAAACTAAAATGACTCCTTAACAATATCCATTTATTCTCTATTTAAATATCATTAGTTTAACCAGTACTCTTAAGTTTGCTGCAACAGGGAGGTTTTTTTGTAAAATAATTATAGTTTAGTTTGAAATAAATGCATTTTCCAAATGTGATCAAAATATACTCTTAAACATCAAACAACAACAGTTTACTTATTCTCCATAACAATTACATGGGAATTTCAAATTTAAATATTTTTTATATTTTCTCCGTAACCATTAGGCGCATAATAACGCTTCAATACACTAAATGATTAGTTTTTTTAAGCTCTACATAATGAGAAAAACCAATTTTTACCCCATAAAACCCCCGTTCCCACAGTCCGATCATGCTGGTTCACGAACTCGTTCGAATAAATGCAGGTTTACAAGTTTCAACATTAAGAATATTATGGATTTCTTTATTGTTTAATGTGATGTTTCCGTGAACGTGGGAGCCGACTATGACGTCTTACACGGCCGGGGGAAATATTTATGATTTTGCCGTGATGGTGGACGACGCCTATGACGTTTCCGTGACACACGGGATTCAATGATGATACTTACACAGGTTATTAGGTTGGGACTTTGGGAACGGAGTTTTATGGGTTAAAAATTGATTTTTCCATTTTTGACCCTAAAACAAACATTTTATAATTTCTCCCCAAACCATTTTGTTCAGCTTAAAATAACAAATAATTTTGTATATTGAAGCGTTGTTGTATGCCCAGTGGTTACAGAGATAATTTACAAAATTGTAAATTTCAAATTCCCATGTTATTCTTATGGGGAATAAATAAACTGTTGTAGTTTGCTTAGTTGTTTATGGATATATTTTAACCAAATTAGGAAATGTTTATTTAATACGAAGCTATCAACATTGCAATAAAAAAACACACCTCAATATGTTCCCAGTAGCAGCAAACCTAAGTACCATTTTGTTTTTTTGGTGTGATACTATCAATGAGTATAATTTTTAAAGTACAAAAAATGCATGCTTATCTCGAGAACTGTTGTATTTTATCTCAACATCATTTGAAAAAGTAAAAATCTCTGTTTTTTTTTTAAAGGCCTATCTATTATCTAGCACTTTACTTTTTGTTGCCTGTATCATCTCATAAAATAATATGTTGTATTATTTTATTCATACTCATGCTGTAAATTAAAGAGATATATATGTTCATTAACAAGTTTTTTTCAGGTTTGCTTGTGAAAATTGCCTTAAAAAGAAATCACAAAAACGAAAAGATAACAAATTTAACGCCAAAAGATTACCAGTGACAAAATTGGGCACTTATATAGAGACAAGAGTAAATAATTTCTTGAAGAAGAAAGAGGCAGGAGCTGGGGAAGTGGCCATCAGGGTGGTTGCCAGCTCAGACAAAATAGTGGAGGTGAAGCCCGGTATGAGGAACAAGTGAGTACCTAAACAATCAGAGTACCTAAACAATCCATTCGTAGGCAAATCAATATTATTCATTTTACATTTAACACAGGGTGTATACCAACCGGGAAAAAACCTTGAATGAAGGGACCTGGAAAAAACCGGGAAAAGCAGGGATTTTTGGAGCGATTCCGGGATTAATATTTTAGCCCCAGAAGAAGATTGCAATCGTATAACGCGTCTGGGAAGTTGATAGAATATGATGACGTTTCCGTGACCGAGGGAGGCAAAGATGACGTCTACGCGGCCGCAGAAGATTTTCATGATTTTGCCACAATCGCAGGAGACAAGGAAAACGTTTCCGTGACCGCGAAAGACGATAATGACGTGTACACGGCTGCGGGTAACGTTAATGATTTTTGCCAGCGTGATGTTTCCGTGAACGTGGGAGCCGACTATGACGTCTACATGGCCTCAGGAAATATTTATGACGATGATGACGTTTCCGTGACATACGGGATTCAATGATGATATTTACATAGCCGCGGAAGATTTTCGTGATTTTGCTGCGATTGCGGACGATGACGTTTCCGTGACCACGGGAGATGACGATGACGTCTACACGGCCAGGGAAAATATTTGCGCAATCGCGGACCACAACGATTGATTTAACCGCGGGATTTAATGATGATATCTACACGGCCCCAGAAGATTTTCGTGATTTTGCCGCGACTGCGGAAGATGACGTTTCCATGACCGCGGGAGATGACGATGATGTCTACTCGGCCCCGGAAGATTTTCATAATTTTGACGCAATCGCGGAAGACGTTTCCGTCACCATGGGAGGTGACCACACGACTGTGGAAGATATTCAGGATTTTGCTGCTGATTATAATGTTTTTGTGAACAACAGAGATAATATTAAGGATTATGCAGGATTTGCATGTAGAATTTATTGTCTTAAAAAATAGCTTGTTTTTATTAAATATATTCTAGTTTATTTATTTTTAACATAAGTATTATTTATATAATTAAAACTGTTGCAAGAGGAAATGTCTACGTACTGTTCTGTAAAAGTGATAAAGAAGGAAAAATGAACTGTTTGCTGCCAGAAACAAGAAAATAAATTGTTTTAGTCAGTATTAATAAAAATGTATGTTTTTTATCCCGCGCGTGCATGGCACTTGGGATTTTGTAATTAATTTAAGATTTGGATGAGTAAATTTTTTTGAATTGAATTGAATTTGCTGCTATCGAGAGAAACGTTGTTTTTGTGGCCTAAGTAATGATGATAATGAAAATGATCTCTATAATAAGGCTTATAATTTTTTAAACACTAGCTCACTTTTTAAATGGGACAATTAGAAATATACAAATGTTATGTATATTGATGGATACTTAAGCTTCAAGTCTTAAATTGGTTATAGTTTAAGTGGAACAAAAAACAAAACATTTACGCAGAAATTAATATAATGTTCACGTTGGAATCATTCACGGGGGAACCTGGAAAAACTTTAAAAAGCCAGGAAAATCCAAAAAAAACCTGGAATTTCACTTTTAAAAATTAGTATGCACCCTGTAACAGTAGAGTCAATAGTCTAAACCTCTTTTGTTGAGTACCTATCTAACAGACTCAAAATCCAATCTGAAGTTTAAATACCTACGTAACTGACTTTGTGACCAATCAAATGCCGTAGACCTAGGTATTATGCAAGGTGATTAATTTCATTTTATAATAACATTAGAGTTTGTGGTCTTAGAGAAACATATAGAGATATGTTACAGTATACTCTAGAAAAAAAGAGTTTTGTGGCAGGTGTTTGTGTGTCCAATACAATTTATTCTTTTTCACCTATTTTTTAGCAATTACATTATAGGGTTACTAATTCTGTGTGATCTTTTTAGGTTTGTGGAAAACGGTGATCTGCCAGAACAGTTCCCATACAGGGCGAAAGCTTTGTTTGCCTTTGAAGACATCGACGGCACAGACGTTTGCTTCTTTGGCATGCACGTGCAGGAATATGGCTCCGAGTGTCCCAACCCCAACACGAGGCGGGTGTACATCGCATACCTGGACTCAGTTCACTTCTTCAGGCCGAGGCAGTTCAGGACTGCTGTTTACCATGAGATCTTACTCGGCTATCTGGACTATGTCAAACAACTTGGGTAATTATTTAGTTTTTTTTTTCTCTTTTTTCTGGATTACAAGAATTACAAGCTGCAATGTGTTGTCAAAGTTTTAGGCTACCCTCACCTGTCTTGGCCTCAAATTAAAAAAGGCCACAGTACTCTTTTTCCTTGTTGATATCAAATTGAGGTCTACTTTAAACTTTATGTCCAATGTGCAAAAGGAGTTTATTAAAAAAATGTTACAAAATGAAGTAGGCCTATGAACTTAATACACTAACACTAAACACAATATACAACTTTGGGGAGCATTTAAAGTTCAACTGACAAAAAAACATTTAGTCACACAACTGCTGCTAATTCTACTTATTCCACTCTTACAGTAAAACAGGAAATTACACTGAGTACTTAACAGTTTGCACCCTAAAAACACAATATATGCAATGGAATGTGATTACTTGGTATTCTAGTTTTATTTGTGTACTAACCTGTAAATATGTGCCAAACAGATACACGATGGCACACATCTGGGCTTGTCCACCTTCAGAAGGTGACGACTACATTTTCCACTGCCATCCCCAGGAGCAAAAAATACCAAAGCCAAAGCGATTACAAGAATGGTACAAGAAGATGCTGGACAAGGGAATTATCGAGAGGATAGTTTTAGATTATAAGGTAAGCAATGATCTATTGATATCTTATCTGGTATAAAACACTCCCGTTTTCAAATGAAATATGATCTTGTGTTGAATGGCTTGGTTGCATTTACAGTATTTAAATGGTATTTAATTTGTAAATTAATACAACAAATTATCGTTATAACCTGTTTTGCCTTTCATTTTTGTATACTTAAGCAAACAACCCATCTATGGATCTTTATGATCCAGATGTAACACAAAAAAAGAATTTTGTGTTACAAAAGAAGATAATAATTATTGAATGAGCCATTGTCTTTTATCTTAGCTAAATTTAATTTAATCCATCTCTACCTGATCCAAATTTAAACAAAATTGAAACTCCAAATTTTCACAGCTATTGCTTACATGATGTTGCATAAAGACAAATTGCCAAATCCTATTGTAAAGGGTGTCCATCCAAATATGAAAATATCTGTGGATATAAAGGGGTGTTCACTGTACAACTTTGAACCAACCAACAAAAATGAAATTTTAAAAATAATATTTTCTTTGAAAAATAAGACATCGGTGGGTTGGGATGAAGTTCCCATTTCACTCATCAAAGCAGTAGCAAATAAAATTGCTGAACCCCTCTCAGATATAATTAATAAATGTTTTGAATGTGGTATTTTCCCGGAAAAATTGAAATACTCTCATATTACTCCGATATACAAAAAAGGGGCTAGAACCGATATAAATAACTACCGCCCAATATCTGTTTTAAGTAATTTTTCAAAGATATTTGAAAAAGTTATCAATTTCCGGCTAGTAAACTATTTTAACAGCAATGATTTGTTTTATGAAAAACAGTTTGGGTTTAGAAAGACATTCAGCACCAACAGTGCACTGATTGAATTTATCAATGATGTTACAGGGGCTTTGGACAGGTCTGAAACTACTGCTGGTGTTTTCTGTGACCTGTCTAAGGCCTTTGACTGTGTGGATCATTCAATTTTGCTTTCTAAATTAAAAGACTACGGTATAAAGGGTAAAAGTTTTTCTTTATTAGACTTTTATTTACAGAACAGAAAGTATAGAACAATAGTGACCAAAAACGGTGTGAAACATATGTCAAACTGGAATTTATCTAATTATGGTGTACCTCAAGGGTCAATATTGGGCCCTCTGTTTTTCCTGATCTTTATTAATGACCTTCCAAAAGCTATTGGCAGAGATTTAATCTTATTTGCTGATGATACAACAGCAATCATAAGAGAGGATTCAGTAAATAGCTTAATTGTATCAATAGAAAACACTTTGGATTGTATGAAAAATTGGTTTACAGATAATGGTTTAAAGCTGAATATTGACAAAACTCATATAATTAAATTTTCTTTAAAAAACAATGTAATTCTTGATAAAATTCCAAATTTAGTAGAATCTTATAGATTTTTGGGTGTATTGCTTGATACTCATATTAATTGGAAGATTCACATAGATAAGATGAAAGGCAAACTAAGATCTATTTCTTTTGCTTTCTTTCACCTGATAAACTGTGTACCTCAGGATACATGTATCACAGTTTACTATGGATACGTTGAATCCATCTTGAGGTATGGAATCATACTGTGGGGAGTGTCAACAGAAGTCAAATCCCTACTAATTTTACAGAAAAAAATTATTAGAATCTTAACCAAATCAAGAAGGAGAAAATCATGTAAAAACCTGTTTAAAAATCTTAGAATTCACACCATTTTTGGATTATACATAAATGAAATTCTAAATTGGATACATAACACTAAGGAAAATTTGTCAGATGCAGTCAAATTTACACATAATTATAATACAAGGAATAAATATAATTTCAGATTACCACATCACAAATTGACGACTTTTAGGAACAGCCCTCAATATATGGGACTTAGATTGTACAATGAATTACCCCTGTATCTTAAAAATTTAAATGCTACTCAATTCAAAGATAAAATAAAAGATAAAATAATTGAGAAAGCCTACTATTCACTTGACGAATTTTCGGAGAACCCTATAATGTAGATAAAAATTATCTGATATCCTACATGAGTTTATTTTAATTATTTTAACTATTAATTTTACTATATAATACATCACTATGACGAAACACCTGTTCTTATGTATGAAATGTACTTTATAAAGAACGTATTGTGTAAATAAAATATGTCTTATGTCTTATGTCTTATGTGACACATTTTTAGCAAATTAATTATAAACAATACTGGCATGACACTCATATAATTTGATTGTGTGTTTTTAACCGTCAAGAATTTGATTTTTAACCCAATCTTTTTTTTATTTGGTAATAATGTTGACTCTTACTATAAGAAGTGCTTATTATAAAATATAATAAATGGCAAATACCACTCACTGACAGATGACCACTATATCTCAAAACGTACAACCTAGATCTATCAAATTTGGTATAGGAGGACCCTGTATGGTGTAGATGTGCAATATGACGAGGTTTTACAAAATTCAAAATTTAAGGTGCGTTTGGGGGGGGGGGGGGGGGTAAAGTGATTTCTGGTGAAATTCTACTATTTCTTTATATTTTGGTCTGTATAAGCTGAACCAATGTTTGGATCTTAAATCTGATGAATAATCGTTAGTGTGGAATTATCTAACGATTATTAAAAATTGTAGATATCTATCTAAAAATTTTTTTATTTAACGTTCTTAAGTACCTCAAACGGTTATCGAGTAAAATCTGTTTTAAGTCAAAACTTTGAACAATTACTTTTTCCTCATGTTTATGCCTCAAAACAAGGCATTTGCCATTCAACCACGATTATCAAACTTTCTATTTCATTACAATATAACATAATAAAATACATAAATCGATAAAATGCGCTTGGATTACACTGTACTAGTGGTTAAAGTAAGCACTTCATTACATTTAAAGAGAAATTGTTCATGCAATTTCTTCCTAAATACGTACCAAACAAAACCTGTAACCAAAACAAAACATTGCAAATTTTATATTATAAAATTTTATTTTACTATTACCTGTAATTATTAGCCAAACTGTTATAAAATGTTGATTGTTTTTGTTAAAAGTTACAATTCAGAAATTTCTGGTAAAAACATTATTTAGGTTGTTCCAGAGAGAGTACTTAGAACCTCCTGGTAAAATAACGTTAATTTTATAAATGAAGAAGTTCTCCCTTAGTTTGACTTCAGTAGTCCCTATGTTTATAAAGCTTAGGCGATTAGGATACATACAAATGGATTTAATCCTTAATAGCTCTTACTTGACAGAAAATTGATTCAAAGTCACAACCTGAGCAAGTTGAAAGTATTAACACAAAAAAAAAATGATGTCAGGCAAAGCCGACGGGCAACTGCTAGTGTGCTTATGTTTTTTTTTTTATTGCAGGATATTCTAAAGCAAGCAATGGAAGACAAGTTGAGTAGTGCAGCTGAACTGCCTTACTTTGAGGGTGACTTCTGGCCTAATGTCCTGGAGGAGAGCATCAAGGAGTTAGACCAGGAGGAGGAAGAGAAGAGGAAACAAGCTGAGGCAGCTGAGGCCGCAGCCAATGCTGTGAGTAAATATGAGTGACATTCTAATGCTTAGGGATGGACGAGATTGGATTTAAATAGTTCAAGATGAGACAGCATTTTTTATTTCTCATAAAATTTTTAGACGGGATTTCCCTTCTCATACATAATTGGAAATGCATGTTTGACATTTTAACCTGATTTTGTTACATTGTTACATTAAATACCTACTGATTTATGACAGATGACTGGTTGAATAAAAAAAAAAAAAATAATAGGCATGAATATTTTTAATCTTTTGGTGTAAATACCTGCTTTTTGTAATCCAAAATGTTGTTGCTGTGACGCAACTAGTTTCAACTTCTCACGAAGTCATCTTCGGGCGTCCCGGGGATGTCAAATCACTTCATCAGAAGGTCATCAATACACACATTATACTTTCATACACGAACATGGTATGAGTCTAGACCCTACATCCATCCGGTCGTGACGCATCATCCTCACTGGTGTTACCATTTTTTAGCTTTTCACTCGTTGAATTGTACTTTTTTGTTTCAATGTTTGTGTTCGTATCCGTGACCATGTTCGTGTATGAACGTATAATGTGTGTATTGACGACCTTCTGATGAAGTGTCTTGACATCCCCTGGACGCCCGAAGATGATTTCGTGAGAAGTTGAAACTAGTTGCGTCATAGCAACAACATTTTGGATTACAAGAAGCAGGTACTTACACCAATTTTTATATTCAACGTAATCCGGAGGCTAACATCAACAATGAAATTAAATCTTTTTTTTTTTAAACGTCAGTATAAACAAATATATATATATATTAATTAGGCCTACCTTATTAAAAATAACTCTTACGCATAGAAAACATGGTGATATCAGTTAGGATATAGTTCAACTCTGAAAATTAAAAAATTTATCAGTAGTCTTATTAGTTCAAGTAATAAAGTACATGTAAGTAGTTTAAGTACAAGTACAAGTAGTTCAAGTACCAAGTAACAAATTTGTCTTGTGTTAATATTTAGAATGATTTTTGAGTGACTTGTTTTGTCTATGTTAACAGTAGTAAAACATGTCTCACACTGCTTACACCTTAACAAAACTTCTCATCATTAAAGATGTCAAAACAACAAATTATAAAACAATTAAAGCCAATTTTCACATGTTAAGAACTAATTAAAAGAACGCCTTCTCAAAGGGAACGCAACAACGCGCTCCTGTATTGTGTGTATTGCATTGACTTTCTGCAGGCGTTTTTAACCAGTTTTTTTCTTTCGTCTTGAAAAAAATCTTGATTAAAATAAAATCTCGTCTCGAAGAACAAGGTTTAAAATTTCTCAAAATTTCTAGACTTTTTTTTGGGTTATTGCAGACCAGTGTTAAAATAATACCTTCCTGTATTAATTATTTCTAAAGTACGATGTTATTTTTAATAATCAAACGTTCATAATGTAAATGTTGTATTCCGGCCGATTTATATTCAGGCTCTAAACTACCTCGGATTACTGGGGCTGAGATAATCGAGACGAGAGTGTACTTTAATAAATACCCACAGAACAGTAAAGTAGTTCTTAACACAGATATTGTAAGAATAAAAACCTAATACCAACCTAATACCCGTGTTGTACACAATATAAGTACACACATACAGTAGCAGAATGATAGTATGCAGGTAAGAAACATTGTGAAAACTCTGTTTAAACCTGCTAAAACATGACGTTGTTCTTTTGCAGTACTTGTCAATATCAGAGGACAGTGAAGTTGGAGCGGATGGTAAAAAGAAAGGACAGAAAAAAGCCAAGAAGTCAAACAAGTCTAAAGCGAACCAAAGGAAAAGCAATAGCAAAAAATCAAACACGCCTCAGACTGGAAATGATTTGTCTGCAAAAATCTTTGCCACAATGGAGAAGCACAAAGAAGTATTTTTTGTTATAAGGCTTCATTCAGCACAGTCTGCAGCCAGTTTACAGGTAATGATTATATGTTAAATCTAGTGATGTGTTCGTTCCATGTTTTAACGCTTCGGTTCTTACCTGAAAAGGGTTCTTGGTACCCGGATCCAATATTCCAATAAAAACTATTTAAAAAATGAGAAAAATTGTGGAGGATTGGTAAAATTTACATACACTAAAATTTAATTTAAACCCCTGAGTTTATTTAAAAATTACAAATGCTTCTGTTGGTAGCAGTACTTCTACCTCTTGATAATAGTTTAGAATAGAGGTGCGAGGTTATCTGAAAAACGGATTCAGTTTGATCGAATGTCCGAGGACAAGTTGTCTAGTGTGTACGACTACCGACAAGTATCAACACATATTTTATCATTGTATAAGAGGGTGGTAATTAACATTAAAATAACAATATACAACAAATCTTTTTAAGAACTAAAAAATACAAAGTAGTTGATGGAACTGTCAGACAAACACACTCTCAAAAAAAGGTTCTCGGTCCTGGTTATTTCCTGAGGTGAAAAGTTGGAACCAAGAACTGTCTTTTGGAACCGACACATTACTAGTTAACCGTTCAATCTTGTAGTTGTTTTGTTTGTGATACATTATCAGGGTGTCTCTACTAAACAATGCAGTCTCAGATTTAATCAGAACCACACATTTAAAATAATTAAGAACGGTTGATTTAATTTTTAATTTCCCATAACTAGAATCATCGATTGAAAAGGTGAAATAGTATTTTATAAATTTATGTACTTTTGCAACTTGTATACAACTCATGGTCTCTAAAATTTTAGTCATTCTATTCTCAATAAACAAGTCAAGTGGCTTCACTGAAGTTCTATTCAATTAAGTACAGTAGTCAATAGAATATGAAATCAGCTATATAGATAATAGACAATATTTATTTGATCGTTATATTTAAAACATACAACAGATCATTTCAATAAAATTGAAACGTGCATTATTTTTCAGCCAATCCAAGACCCTGACCCATTCATCAATTGTGATCTGATGGACGGGCGTGATGCTTTTCTCACTATGGCGCGAGAGAGGCATTACGAGTTCTCCTCATTACGAAGGGCGAAATACTCGTCAATGGCGATGCTTTATGAGTTACACAACCAGGGTCAAGACCGCTTTGTCTACACATGCAACAATTGCAAGCTACACGTTGAGACCCGTTACCACTGCACTATCTGTGATGTATGTTTATTTGGGGTTTTTTTTTACAGCTTTCTGGTGAAAAATGATTTCACCCTAGTAGTCTCAGATGTTATATAAAATAAATGATTGGGGATAGTTAAGATTAATTTAATCTGAGAATCACAACAACTTTACATCATACACAAAAGTTAGAATATTTCATCAGTGGTGACAGTTTTTCCCCAAAAGAATGTTTGAGGTGGAAATAGAGATGTTTTTAAGTCCTTGTACTCTATAAGTAAGGATTACGATGATTGAAGGTGGGAGATGCTGAATTTTGGAAAAGTCAAGACAAGCAAATGCTAAAGAGATCTGAAATGCACTTCAATTAGTAGGGGCGAGAATGAGTAGATTCAAACAGAGCTATAAATGGAAATTACCAATCCATATTGTCTTGCCCTTTGAAATTGTCTTATTTCAGTGGTAAAATCTCACATTTAAATTGGCTTTTTACTTTCTCCCCTTATACATAGTATATGGAGAAAGTATTGTTTTCATCAAAATTTTTGAGTTTGAGTGGATATATCCGTTTTGGGTCCCCCTGAACCCAAAAGTGGTTTTTAATACGAAGTGATGTCTGTGTGTGTGTGGATGTGTAAATGTGTACAGAGCTACAGACTATACCTGTAGTCCGATTTTGAAGAAATTTGGTATGTCAGTACTAATCCATGGTATCTGCAGGCATTTTTTTTTAATTTATATTTTTTTATAGTGGTTTCCCCATAAAAACCCATAAAAAATAACAGAAAAATCTGTTTTTCTCGAAAATGGCCCAAACGATTTTGATAAAAGTCCATTAAATTTGGAACAAAATTGTACAAATCCCATTTCCGTAACAATTACGGTTCCAAAGTTATTGTAACTTATGTTATTTTACCATAAAACCCCATAAAATAACAAAAGATAGGATTTTAGGAAAAAGCTGGTTTTGATTATCAATTAATGTGTTATGGTCCTTATAATTCTAAACAAAATAGTGCAACTCCCCATTGCTGTAACAATTATGGTTCAAAAGTTATTGCAACTAATGTGATTTTCCCCTATAAAATATCATAGTTTCTTACTCCCACCGCTTACCCATGATAAAGGTTGTTGACACGCTTATGGAAGAAAGTATGTGTCAGATTGCTGATACCGTTTTTTTTTTTTTTTTTTTTTTTTTTAATTTGAGATTTTTATTAGACACATGCTTAATTTGTAATTGGCTAGTAGGAAATCCACCTTGGTAGAAAAAGTTTCTGTAAGACTAAGTTTGAATGTCTTTTTTCTACATAACATTAGAATTGTAAAATATTCCAAGTATCTTTGTTAACTCGCTTAATTTGTTGCAGGACTTTGATTTGTGTATAACATGTTACGGCAAGGATGGACATCCTCACAAGATGGAAAAGTTGGGCTTGGATCTGGACGACGGATCATCACCTGCAGACCAGAAACAAGCAAACCCACAGGTAAATGTCATCACGTTAAAATAAGTAAATAAATAAATGTCATCCTGAGATTCATCTAAGAAATGTATCTTTAAAATAGAATAACAAAGATTTATCAATTGAGATTGGCTCAATTGATTCTGTTCAAGGTATTCCAATCGAGGTGGGTGAGTCAGTAAAGTCTGACCACAAAACTAAGGCAAGTGCCTGGTACCGCCACTTAAATATATCAGTACAGTCCAATCTTGTACTGTACTGGCACACCCTTTGCTTTATTTAATACGTTCTACATCCTCATGACAACAGGCAAATGCTAGATTTAAAGAACCCACTACCCTCTTTTTTAAAGATCAGCTCAGTCTTAAACAAACTGTGTTGGTTGATAGGAGGCGCGGAAGTTGTCCATACAGAGGTGTATCCAGTCACTGGTGCATGCATGTCAGTGTCGGGATGCCAACTGTCGTCTGCCCAGCTGTCAGAAGATGAAGCGGGTGGTGCAGCACACCAAGATCTGCAAACGCAAGGCCAACGGAGACTGTCCTATCTGCAAACAGCTCATTGCACTCTGTTGCTACCACGCCAAGTATTGTCAAGTAAGTAAACTGATATCAAGCTATAACACAGTTTCTTCCTTATTTTTTTTTTTTTTTTAATCGGATAATTAAATTTTATTATTTCAATCAATGCAAATCAAACCAATATTTGTTTGAATTTCTGAGCACTGGTTAAATAATCACAATCCCAATGCATTTATTATGGAAACATTAGCAAACTACAAGCTTTCTCCTAAATTTATTAGAGAAAATCAAACATAAGGCGGTGTCTGCATACTGTCTTACAGTACAATTGAAGCCACGGAAAAACATGACATATGCAAAATTAGGTTTTGGAGTGTTGTGCAGTTGAAGCCTCACTAGCTAAACCTAGATTGTGTGTATGTACAGACCACCACACAATGATACAACAACTACTTTAAAGAAATTCCTTAGTATTCTAAATTCCTTGCGTTCTCATATTGTTACAAAAAAATTCTAAGTACAGTATATTTCTATCTGGAGATTTTTTTTTTATTTGTTCAAAAAAGGACCTCACACAGTGCATTTCAAATTCCTGATAGAATCTTACAGCCTGTTTGTCACTGTTTTACAACCTCCTAGGATTACTCGTGTTTCTAAAACCTGTGTTGAAAATGTGTTTACTAATGTAGCTTTAGACAGTTTTCAAACTTTAGTTGTAGATACTGACATCTTTGACCACACTTATCAGATTTTATCAACATATATAATTTATAGAGTATAAAAACAAAACTGAGACCAAAAAGTGATGTTTTAAAAAAGAAAACATGAAACATGTTAAAATTTCAAGATTCAATTAGTAATGAAAATTGTGAACCATTATACTGCGCTAAAATCTTTGATCCTAACACTGCTTATAAAAATGTTCTTATGTATAATTTTGAATTGGCATTTCCCTTGGTAAAGACAAAGATCAAGGAGATAAAACAAAAAGCTGGCTAACAAAAGCCATTATAATAGCTATTAGGAAAAAGAGGGAATTACATAAGTTAAGCAAATTAGGCCTATCAAAATGATGTCAACTCAGCTTAATCGAATGTGAAATATGGATAAAGCTAAAAGAATAATTAATTAATGCTGGTACAAATTGTACTGATGTTCTCTAAGTTACTGTCAAAAAACACCAAAGTTAGAATTTATAAGACAATAATCAGCCCAGTATTATTATACGGAGCTGAAACATGGAAACCAAATAAAAAAGAAGAAAAGAAGTTAATCACATTTGAAAATAAGATTTTAAGAAAAATCTATGGACCAATTAATGAAGGTGGTGAATGGAGGAAGAGACACAACAGAGAACTGAGAGAACTCTACAGAGATCCAGATGTGGTGTGTGAATTTAAGTGTAGAAGAGTTAGATGGGCTGGACATGTTTTACGAAGAGAGGAGCAAAATAAGTTAAAATTAGTTTGACTAAGAAATCCCAAAGGAAGACGACCGAGAGGAAGGCCAAAACAAAAATGGTGGAGCCAAGTAAAGAAAGACATGGAGCAACTAGGAGCAATTGAGGAGGATTCAGAGGATAGAGCAAGATGGAGAGGCTTTGTTGGTGCGGCCAAATATCTTCTTAGATATGCATGGCCCTGAGAGTAAGAGTAAGTAAGTACAAATTGTACTGACTTCTTAGATTGCTTTGTTCAGTTTAGTATAATATTAGAAGAACTAATAAAATTTGTTGTTTGTCCAGGAGACCAAATGCCCGGTGCCGTTCTGTCAGAACATCAAGTACAAGATGAAGCAGCAACAATTACAGGCGAGATTGCAGCAAGCGCAGCTGCTGCGTAGGCGAATGGCTGTCATGAATACTAGAGGGTATGTAATGAGTGTCATGGGAATGCTCCTTTAACCATTTACACTTGCTCTTCCAGTGTGTCATAGTTTCGAAGTAAATTGGTCCTTTTAATTTTTGTATTACTTGTGTAAATTTGTCCTAAGACAAATTTTTTATTTTTTACTTTAAAAAAAAAAAAGTTTAATCCTAAATATTTGGTAATCCAAAATGGGTCCGGTCCCAACCATTTCGGACTAACGGGACTCCACTGTAGTTTGTTTGGCAACCAAAGAATAAATATTGTAGATGTTGAAAATTACTGACCCTATAAGTGCTGCCCGAATAATGTAGAACTAGTAAAAATGTTCCAGGACAAGACATCTAGAATAGAAATGGGTTTTTTCTCAGCCTGTTCTAATGTATAGCGTATATAAGCAAGCTCTTTTTATTATTAGCAAACCAATATAAAACTGAAACAGACTGGTATGCAATATTGAGATTGCAAGAGTACTTGGTGTCGACATTGGCCTTACTTATTGTCTACACACACCAGGTCTGTGATGGGGTCGAGTGCAGTCAGTCCAGGCGCTCAGCAGACAGTGGTGATGCCAGCTCTGCCGGCACCTTCACCTCAACACCAGCCTGGCATCGGCCTCAAGCCTGGCACTCAGACTCCTCCTGCCAACGTACTGCAAGTTGTCAAACAGGTGTGTGTCCAATCAATCCTAAACAAACCCTGTAAGATGTGGAGGTTTGGGTCTCTTAGTAGGCCTACAGTAGTATCAATTATCCGACCTTCCCTCATTCCATGCGGCATGACTCTACACTATAGCGGTTGGGTTGAGATAACCCTGCCATCCACGACTGTACCCGAAAATGACATGTCACCCTTCAGATCCCTGCCTGCTCTTGTTTGTACTTGGCCTTTGTTTTCACTTCTTGTGTAACCCTAAGTTAGCTCTAACGTTAGAAAACAGCCCTTTTACTGTTAAGTGAATAAGGATGATTTCAGCAGTGACGTTTAGATTTTTTTGTAATTACTTCCAAACAAAAAAAGTTTTTAGAATTTATGTGCTTAAAATTGCATTACAATTTACCAAATTACCAGAATTTACAATCACTTTTTACTGCCTGTGTACACTGAGTGAGTATGATGGGTGTTGTGATAGGTGCAGGAGGAGGCGGCCAGACAACAAGCACCTCACGCTGCTGTAGGCTATGTAGGCAAAGTGCCTCAGTCTGTACCTCAAGTGATGCCTCCTCCACAGCTACAGAGAGGGCCAGGGCCAGGACCAACCCCGCTTCTCTCCATGGACCAGTGGCAACAGAACAGGTAAACTAAACTATTATACACATTACAGAATAGTAAAGTAAAATCCCTACTAACCTAAAAAGAGGGAGCCATGCAGGTTTAGATAACATTAGGGGTGTGCGATGAATCGAAATTCCGATTCAATTCTATGCTTCGAAACGCCATTCGATTCAGTGGTGATCAAAATTTTGATTCGTAGGAAGGGGCCGATTATTTGGTATATATTGAGACATATACTAAAAATTTGTTTACTGTTTTACTTCATTTCAAGTTATTTTCCAATAAGAACAACTTCTATGTCATTAAAAAAACTATTTTACAAATCTTTTAGAAATTTCTTTTGTTGTCTCTAGGTTTTGATCTTTAAAATAGTGAAATTGTAGTATGGATCATATCTATATAATTAATACGCTACATGAAACTTTGTCGGTTGAACTCCTCCTCCATTTCTTAACCGGTTTTATCCATTGACGTCTCATTGGAAAGAGCGTGTCGCGTAGATTTGCAAACTGGCCTTACATTTTTGTAAAAGTCCCTAAGGCTCTGCCCCAGTGGCTTTGAAAGTTCCCATGTTATCCTTATGAAGAACATAATTGTTTACATTTTGATCAGCTGTATAATTTAATTGCTGTTATTTTATTTTTAAATTCAATGAAACGCATTGATTACATTTATTTACTATTTGAGTTTGTGTAAACATAACCCCCAAGACAAATCGTGTTAGTATGGTTGTAACTTAAATTTGTGCATTTATCTTTGTTTTGTGTAGCTATAATTTGTTTATTTGTTATTTTTCTTTTAAATGCCTCCGTCGCGACGACAACCAAACGTAGACAGGAGGCGTAATCGTGATAACAGAATAGCTACAGAACAGTGGCGCGTAATAGCACAGAAAACATACTACTATAACCCAGAATGCCAACCGCATGGTAAAAAGCATTAAGTGTTTTGAGAGAGCTTTGCACCCTAACACTACCCCAAAACGACTTTTTGTTCTCAATTGACCCTCTATCAATGACCTGTGTTGCCTGTACAGCGAGGCATTTTCAGAAGGAGAAAACCGGCCGGAATGCTTTAGGTTTATCAATAACGAAGATAGACATGGTCTGAGTTACACACCAGTAATCTTTGAGTTGACTCTTTTAAACTCATTGTAAATATGACTGTTATTCGTTTTGAAAAACTCCTGTAATACTTTGCAATTGCTCGAATTCGAGCAACATGTACACTAGTCTAAATGGTTTTTGAAAACTGCACAAGCAGAATAAACAGTTTTGTGATAAAAAACGTTGTTTTCCAAGAATCAATAACCAAATATGCTTGCTAATGAGTTTTTGATATTACTAAACAATCCCTCACTGAAATTAAGCTTTTTCCTTTAATAATTTCAAAGAAAACAACCAAATATTCTTGCCAAAATTAGAGACTTTTAGCATTTTTACACCCAAATTCCTATCGCTAGTGTACTTACCTAGAATTATTATTTTTCTATTCCTTTAAAAGTTATAATATTTTTCCCCTTGTAGGTAATCTCGATAGATCTGAATGACTACACTTTCTCAAGTGAATCTTCTGGAGAATCGTATTATGTTGACTGATTTGCTGAATTTGATGCTCAATAAGTGAATTTTGTTTAGTAATACTTACTAACTGTTGTTCTTCCTTATCATGTAAATATTGTAAACATGTATTAGATTGGACATTTTATCAATATAATGTTATTGAACTTTTGAAGTTATTCATTGTCGTATTATTAGATGAGTGTAATTTGGTGTTGCTCAAATTAACTTTCTAAATTGTTAAACTTAGAGGTTATAAAGTATTACAGAATATGGGATCCATAAACAAGTTCCACATGGAAAAATGTTTTGTTTTTTTTTACAATGGGTTTTTTTTAGTTTAGGGTTTTGGTGTGTATTTTATATTTTTTTATAGCAAACCCCCCAAGTCAGGAACACTGATGTTTTGACATTTAACTGAAATGGGGTTTTATTAAGGCCCAATCTTTTCTAAAGAATTATATAACTTATCTTTGAAATGCCTACTTCTTTGCTGTGAACTTTGGTCTACTTGGGTTATATCTTTAAATTGTTATTTCAATCAAACCTGTATAAAAATCACACATCGTTTCATAAACAAGCGTGGAACTTGTCAATGTTCTGTTTGGTACCGGTTGTGTTAAAAAAAGAATTGTCGAAATGTTCAACGTAGGTAGTTTGAACTTGGTTGTGTTGTATTTCAGTGTCATAATGTCAAAGATGAGAAAATAATATATTGAGAAATCACATTAAAGAAGCCGACAAAGTAGTGGGGGCCAGATGATGAGGGGTCAAAGAAAGGACGCTAGTAGACTCAAAATATTGAACCTTGAGTTTGATCAAAATTTGTGCACAATGTAAGCTCAACAGTTTTGAGCTCTTTCGCCAACACACACAAATGCACAACATCCAATATGATTTTCCGCGATCGAAGCATTATCCTTGATTATTATTTTCCGTCATCGCAGAAACTCTTAAAGGTGTCGGACATCTGTGATCGATGGTTATATACAACGATCCCGATGTAGCGATGGCTGCTACATCTGAGATCGTCTTGCAATCATGGCAAATTCATAATGATATCCCGTCATTGCGGCAACACCCATGATAATTTCTTGTGATCATGGCAACGTTTGTTTTTCGTTATAGTTTTCCGCGATCGCAATTTTGTGCGCATTTATTGGATGTTATTAATTCATTTAGATACCCTTGTTCTTTACAAAATTCATGTACAATTCACAGATATTCTCCCGGTCATCAAAATTCACATACTATTCCAGATCGGCTGGACACTCTAAAATGGTACGTAGGTTGTAAGAAACTAATTTGTTGTGGATGGTAAAATGTGTAAATTACAATTAATTGAAACGTATAATTTTAAAAATTTGGTTTTCACCTACTCACGACTTCCAGTTTGTTAATGTGCCTGATATTTCCAGATACCAAACAGCCAATGTGGGCAATGCAGGGCTGAGGCAACCTAACCCTCAGCCCGGGGCGCAAGGACCCATCGTGGGGGCAATGCGACTCTCTCAGCCAGGACCTAACCCCCAGAGCAAACAGGCGCTTCAACAACTGCTGCACACTCTACGATCACCCAACACTCCGGAACAGCAGCAGCAGATACTGCAGATCCTCAAGAGCAACCCTCAGCTGATGGCAGCCTTTATCAAACAGAGGCAAAACTTCCAGATGCAGCAGCAACAGCAGCAGCAGAACGTGGTGAACGTACCTCAGGCGCCGACCCAGCAGCTTCAGCACATGATGACTCAGCAGCAGAACCCACAACAGAACAGGCTGCACATGCAGATGCCTCAACAGAACCCTCAGATGATGCAACAACAACCCAACTGGTACAAGCAGCAGCAGATTCTGGCTATCCAACAGAGACAACAGCAACAACAACAGCAGCAGCAACAACAACAACAGCCAACTCAGCAGTTCCCTGGGGGCTATACGCCTCAGCAGCAACGGTTACCAATGAGAAGTTACTCGCAAGGCTTCCCTGACCAGTACCCTGTCAAACCCAACCCTAGTCCAGTCCAGTCGCCCCAGGGCATGATGGGTCCTCCTGGTATGTCGCAACAACAACTCATGTCTGTCAGGTCGCCCCCACCTATACGGTCGCCTCAACCCAACCCCTCGCCTCGGCCAGTACAGTCACCTCGCAACCAGCCGGTGCCCTCGCCTCACCACGACCTCGGTGGACCCAGTGAGATGATGTTATCACAACTAGGCTCCTCCGCCACCGGACTGCCGCCCCCAGCACCCCCACAGCCCGACGATCTTACGCCTCAGGATCAGTTGACTAAATATGTGGAAAATTTGTAGTACAGTGCGGCTTTTTAGTTTTTAATGTGTACTTAAAAGGACATTTTCCTTGTCGATAAACAAAGCAATCTTCCTATCCTGTGTTATGTAAAAATGTTGTGATTGTTGTCGATTATAGTATTATTATTCTGTTAGTGTAGGTGTACATAAGTTAAATAGTGCCGGGTGGCGAATGTGTATAGCGTCCCTATGATCCGCTCGTGCTTTATTTATTGAACTTTATAATTTGACCAAAAATAAAGATGTGAAACATTTTGTTAAAGGAATGTTGACTATCGATGGCCGTTTTTAGTCTCTTTTGTGTCTTGTGTATTGTTGTTTTTGTTTTAGTCTCTTTTTACGACACAAATGTGAGAATATTTCAACTACACGAAATAAAATATTTGTATGTACATCGTTAAACCTTTATTGTAAAGAAAAGTAACACTTAAATCCTCTTTTTATATATAGACTTAATACAATTATTACATCTTTTGTAAACAAAAAGGTGCCGCTGTGTAAATATAGTAATAGAAAATGTTTTACGTGTATATAAATGTATTATTGTTCGATAAATGACTAGTATACATTGATAAAAACACATATATAAATATATGGATATCTAAGATAAAAATAAATGATTGTTGTTCATAAAATTTGTCTTTAACTTGTCTCACAAGTTAGGCTGTGTTCATGGTTATGTGTAAAAAGGATTGGAATGGATTTGTTACTCTAAGATGACAACTCATTTGTTAAAATTATCTTTCTTCTACTTCTTCTGTGAACTATGTATTTGTAGGTACTGTTTTGTTACTTCATTCATATTGGATTAATCATAGTTTTTATACATGACTAAGTGAGTGAATCGAGTTCAGATTAAGATCTCCGATAGACAGATTTTTCAACAGATCGTGTAATGATATTTTTATATATAATACAAACAAATAGGTTGTCTCCAGCCATGTACATTGGGTACTAGTTCCTCTCTACTCGCTTAGAGAGAATTTCTTCAAAAGCTTTGCTTTTGTGAATTATCTCTTACTATTAAATTTTTTAGGTATATTTATTGTTATTTTATTTGTTACTCCCTTTTCAGTTTGGAATTTCATCTTAATCTGACTACAATTTTCCCTTTCAAACTCGATCCATTAGCCATTATAAACACTAGATTCAAACATAAAATGTGTGAATACAAGTGAGAAGATATTTTTACTATCAGAGTAATATTACACGCTCTATCCTATTTGGATTTGCATGTTTTCTGCCAAATGTGATAAGATTGTTAGGTAGATGAAATTCCAAAGACCTCCTCAGAGATGTGTTACAGTATTAAAATGAGACGAGCGATGGTACGAGGATATGTCCATGGATCAAATCATTAGTTTCATAGTTGTTGTTATTAACTTATTGTATTTTATTTTGTTTATAATTTTAAATGTGGACAATTTTTTATTTTGTTGTTATATTATTAAGTCTGTAATATTAGCTGATGTCATTTCCAACGTCCCTAACATTAACGATGATAAAATAATGATTTATATATATATTTTTGTATTAAGTTATTGTTCCTTTTACAATTAAATTGTCGACGATCGAACACCACTAGATTTATTTCTGTAAATTATGTAAACAAAATTGAATCAATGTATAGTCGAGGGAAATTTAAAAATTATGTCACAACGACGACCTTTTGTAAATAAAATGTTTTCTTATACGACCCCGTTTAGACCTCATGTCCCAGTCCTGTCCCCCAAAATTGTGGGTTTATGATTCAGCAACAGAAAAGTATAAAACTTAAACAGTGGGTGGCGCTATACATTCCGTTCCCATGTTAAAGCTGTGGTCAGATTTTAGAATCAAATAAACACAGTTGAATTATTGAGCCTCTGATAGAGTGTGTTGCTGCCAATTACTAGTTATTTTTGCAATCACTATCTGTCAACTTACTGTGTAGTAACAATATCTGAGAAAGTTATTTTGACAGCAGCTTTCTATGAGAGGCTCATTCAACTTTGTTATATTTGAATAGCAAAAAAATATTAGAATGGCCACAGCTGTTTCATATAAATGGAATGTTTACCCCATCGAGATCGATGGTTTACCCTAGTTTCATAGAGTCAATGGTAAAATATGAAAGCGGTTAACATGTTTCAATGTAAGATATTTTTGATTTTAATATTTCCAAACGGGAGGCCTTAAATAGTTTTCATACAAATAACTAATATAAAAAAGTTGATTCAATCTGTTGAATAACTGGTACTATAATGAATTCATTTTTAACATCACATCAAGTTTCTAATTTGATACTAGGCCAGCCATGAAATCAAACTGTCGAGTTAGGTAATTTTAGGTCTTAACGCAAAAAACCTTTATAACTACAGTATGAACAGAGCGAGTGTTCTCGTAAAATGTGCCTTTTTATGAGCATGGCCCCTTTCTGCATCATGTAGTTCATACCCAAACCCAGTTCTGTAAGATATAGTAAAATGCTACTGCACGTATGGTATTAAATTTTAAAACTCTCCTTAAATGAAAAACTAATTTGTCATATAGTTATTTCTCAAAAAGTATAAATAAGTATCAATCAAAGATTATTTTTGTTGAAAAATAGGGGATGTTATCTATTTTGTACACTTTATACAGTATTAATATCTCTGTCCCTTAAAAAACCCTCCTTTGCTTAAAGTTTAAAGAGATTTCCCAACAATTGCATTACAAACATTTAAACCATAGGTACTTAAACTAAATTTACAAAACTATACTATAATGTTTTACTAGTTAGCAATATTGTTTAAATATGATCGAAGTAAAAAAAAATTAGGGTGGTAAAACAAATATTGTGTGTGGAACAAAGATGAAGTTTTATGAATATTGGAAACCATTTGAGGTTTTTTTGGTAAATTTCGAAATGGTTACTTCTCTCAACCAATTTGTATTTATTAACTACCTGTCAACGTGCTAAATAAAGTAAAATGGTTATCACTTTAATATTTTGATTTTTTATGGTGTTCATTTCAAACACAATTTTTTTAAAGTTGCAATTTTCTGTTTCAAACGTTATATAATTAAATCATGTTTTATTTCAACGGTAGAAGTGTTTTTTTTTTAGTTTTGATTTGCAAGTCTCGGTGCAATTACATACAAAGAGGACTGTTATTATAAAGTTAAAGACGGTGACTGTGTTTTCCAAAAACCAAATTCTAAGCTAGTAGTTAGAGATTTAAGGTCCAACTCCATAATACTAAGAGTAAGTTGGAGATAGGTTCAGTGTAAATATTGTATCTAGTTATACATAAGCGCTCAATGTATAGTGTATGATTACTTGACGTGAAAATGTACATAATATAAATGTATTTAAAGTGTGATTGTCACACAAATGGAGAATGTAGCTTTCCGTTTATTATTTTTGTTAAAGTGTCACAGAGTGGAGGCCGAAGTGTGTATATAGAAGCTACTCTTGTCTCATTAGCTGTTAGAAATTTGAAGAATTTTTTTTAAATAAATATTTAAGCAATTACGATCTATTTGTGTATATTTGCTAACCTAAATCTCCTCCGAATTGCAATTGTCACTTTGGGACTTTTAGCGAATTTCCGATATAGGGAATATAATCTATTACCGTAGTACTCATGGTAAGACCTGGACCCGGAACCGATTTAATTTTTCGTTTTGAGGTCCCTAGAGGACAAAAACACCATCCGTTTATATTTATACTTAATTTTGAAAAATAATGGAGTTAGTCCTCTTGAGGTTGACTGTAATATAACTTTGATATAAACTGGTTTTTCTTGATGAAATTAAATAATTTAACTTAGAAATCTGGACTCCTTTTAACAGTTTCAACTTTCAACTATGGCTTCCCTTCTCTCCCAGTCTTCTTCAATTTGAATGTTCACATGGGTCTATTGTTGAACACATGGATCACTGCTTACTTATTTTTGATTCCATAAGAACTAATTTTGAAATTATATTATAAGAAATGTTGATGTATTGCAATTCTCTTACATATTTAATAAATAACTAAAGTTGTGGGCTTTGTATACATAGGCTATGGAATATGGATATTATTAATGATTATTTGAACATAGATTAATGGAATTGTATAAATGAATACTAGGCCAGCCTTATCATCATATATCTGGATGACTTTCTGAGGAGTGATTAATAACAAAGGTGTATAAACAAAAGTTAACATTTTAAGAAACTATATACAGAATAATGAATGAATGAAATGAAATATTACATCAGATAAGCGGCGGGGGTATTTTAAGTAATGTAAACTAGTTTCTATGCCTGGTGATTTGCAACACTACATAAAAACTAATGTTATCCAAGACTGAGTAGTCTTGTGTCCATATTTCTGACCTAATAAAAAATTACTCGATTGATCCTGAGAAATCAAAACAGCCCAGCTGTCTTGAGAATCGGCTAGAGTTGGAACCACCACAATTCAAGTGAATTATACTTTTTCTATGGGGTAGCGGATTTTTATCCCCCTGGAATTTTACCCCCTGGACAAACGTGACGTCACAAACCAGGGGGTAAAATTCCGGCTGCGAACTTTTGAGTTTCGCGACATCAACTCGATGGATTAAACGCGGAATTAAACATATATTTTCACGGTTGTGAGTTTAATCAGAACACATCAAATTATAAAAACCTAGAATGTACGGCCCGGATTTTTACCCCTGGAATTTTACCCCCCGGAATTTTACCCCCTGGCCAGATAAATTAGTGAGAATGATTAATTATCGTCATTCAGTTTTAATTTATTGGTAAACATTTTATTATTAAGTAGCCTATCTTAATTTATAAGTAACATTAACTAATTAAACAGGGTTTTAATATTAATTTTGAGATTCAAGTGTCAGGATTCGATCTTTGAAGCCAACTGTTGGTTAATATGATCAAAATAAAACAGCGAATTCTGTTTAAGTTACTTAGTTGAGATTACAAAATATAAATAAATAAAGATAGGCTACTAAATAATGAAATGTTTACAATTAATTAAAAACAGAAATAAGAAAATCAATCATTCAATTTCTAAAATCAGCCAGGGGGTAAAATTCCGGGGGTAAAAATCCGGCCCGTACATCTTCAGTTGCCTAAACGCTAGTTATATGGACAGGGGGTAAATTTCCGGTTTTTATCGCTAATCTAATTAATCACGCTCTGACTATTTTCATTAGACTTCCAAATCCGCGGGGGTAAAATTCCGGCCGCGAACAAACTTTTGGCCACTCAGGTTACTACGTCATAGTGACGTCAGCTTTGCCCAGGGGGTGAAATTCCAGGGGGATAACATTCCGGCGACCCTTTTCTATGACTAATTTATACTATGTTTCACACTTAGTCTATCGTAACATATGCAACATTTTTAGGGATTTCAATTTTTTGATTGTGACTCATTAAAGGTATTTAAATTCCTCGTCAATGATTTCCTATTCAGTTTAAATATCGACGAGGCCGATTCTATTATCACGGCGGACTACCGGCGCACTTGATCCGACCTTTGCACTGACTGACCTCGGCACTTTGTTTGGATTGGACTGTCCGCAGTCGAATTTACCACTCGCCACTCCACTCAACTCTTTACCCTACAATCCACTCATCACTCTCCACTCTCTTCACTACCACCATTACACACGAAACGCACACTCTCTCTCTCTCTCTCTCTCTCTCTCTCTCTCCTGGCCACCACGGAAATCTATAAAGCGCTATCTTACCAGCACTGTGTGGTTATGGAAATACATTTACTTATTTCAATAATAATAATAATAATAACGACCTATTGTCTTTTTTAATTGTCATTCCAAAATTCAATAATTTTTATTTTTTCTATTTGACAGCAACTCAGACGCACAGGTAGCACTGCCTATGTCTCCTGCCTATGTCCCTTTATTTTATTGTGTTATATATTTTGGCTTTATTAAAACTCGTATGTATTTTTAGTGACAAAAGTCTCTATCTAATATATTTTATTTTAGTTTATAATCACAGTTTGTAGCCAATGGTTTTTTGGAATAAACCATATATTCATTCAATTTTGGTAGATAAGGTAAAAAATTCAATATAACATAAGTAGTATAAGTTAAGTAAGTACCGACATTTTTGTGTTCCTTAATCTTACCATCCATATTTCTTATGTTTCAATGTCTTC